CCAGGATAACCTAATAATTCTACAGTGGCACCCGAACTATAAGATTTTGGTCGATGCTTCTCCACCACCAGGATTTGGGGATTGGGTCCCCTAATCCCCAGTCGCCTTTTAAAAGGTATTTTCTCCCTCCTTTCTGCATGCCTTCGTGGTGTAGCGGTAGCACACGCGGCGCGTATTCAAGAGGTCCAGGTTCGCGTCCTGGCGAGGGATTAATTGTCATTAACATATATTATTAATATTATTATTTTACATTTTATTTAAACTTATTTGTTATTTTGTTGATTTAATTTTGCATACCTTTCCTGAAGACCTTCCACGGCTTCGGCAGGTCTAATTTTAGAAATTGAGTCCAGTTGAAATGTTCAGTACATGGACAATTCGTGTAAATATTTGCTTGAGCAAGCAAGAATTGTGTAATTTATAAAACACACTAAAAATAATCTAAATATAAGTAATACTGTGTATGTGTATTTTTAGAGTTTTGGAAAAGGAGGGTGATCACCTGGCAGTGGTGAGAAGGATGCTTGGGTCAAAAAAATTGAGAATCATTAGCTTGGCTGAGCATGAAGCACTAATAATTTGTCCTGGGCTTTGTTCCTTGGCGCTGAACTAAATGCTTGCTAGAGGGTTATGCGAGCTAATCTTTCGTGGAACAACTTTAATGAAGACTTTCTTCCCCGTAAGGAAATAGCCCTTTCTAACTGCAATAATTCATTATTCCAAACCTGCAAGATGTAATTTATTGATACATGTACTATGGGATATAATTTATTGATAACAAAATCTGCAGAATATAATTTATTAGAAAAGCTGTTTATCCGGAATCACCTCGCATCGAAGTTAGTTCGATTTTTTGTTTTGTTTTGTTTGAAGAAATCGATTTTTAAACTAGTTTACTAGATATTAAAAAATACTATTCCTTGCGTTTTGTCAAATCGCTGGAACAATGTTTGCATTTGGAAGGTTTATTCTGTATTTTTAAGTGTAAATTATTTTTTAAGTACTTTAACCTTAGACTGCGGAAGATTCGTGACAATCGCGTGGTGTCTATTTGACCTTGAATCCGGTGGTGCAGGTTGTAGAGTGATCGATGTCATTAACACCGATGAAAGGATCATGTAGCCCAGTGTATTAAAAACGGGTATTCCATTCAGTCCCGTTTTGACTTCGTTTCCCGTAATTTCGCAGAGTACATTCACATCGGTGTTTTATTGTAAAAACTTTTTTTCTCTTCTCTGTTTGTTAGCGCGACAATTTGTTATAGCTAATTCAATTTCAAGAGGAGCATAAAGTCTAAACAGAGAGCGTTAAGTGCACACGTAATTTACTTTATGAACATGAACAAAATTGATTTAATGAGAATAATAGCTGAAGAAGTTTAATTTTAAATTATTTGGTACGTTTCGGCATATTTCTTATTATTTATATGAAAATTTCCCCACAAGATTTTATTTAGATGATTCAAATTATTATTATTATGTGAGATATTTTGATGCAGTTTTTTTTTTTTTCACGTTAAAAGAAAATGGTTTAAGATTTATTTGTTTATTTATTTTTGGTTTGTAAAATAAAGTGAAATATATAAAAGTGAGCACCGTACTGAGAGAAGCACAATAATTTTTAGGGGCAGAATCAGGTATACTAATCCATTAAAATTTAAGAATTAAGTATGGAAGTGGGCCACCAACTGTGTTTTCAAGTATGGCATGTAAATTTTGATTGGATCTGAGGTATCAAATAATTAAAACAATCGCTACAGTTTATGCTAGGGTGTATTAAAAAATATGTTTTTCGGAATTTTTTCAAAAATTCGTCTTGATTTAAAAAAGATCCTTGTGATATAAATCATATTTTTTTTAAATCTGTTTTTAGATGTAAAACTAACTCTTCGTGTAAACGTTTGTAGCATAATTTAGTACAAATTAGTGCTACAACTTCTAGTTATACAAATCTATTATTAAAACATTTTTTTTTTTTTTTTTTTTTCTGTAAGCCCTAATAACGGTAACGTTTATAACATAAATTGTAAATATATATATATATATATATATATAGAAGAAATCAGTCGAATATCGATGATATACTGATAGTTTAGTCTGGTTTTCGGTTCATATATTTGGATATTTCGATTTATATATCATGCTGATAATGGGTATTTCCATTTTGTAATTTTAAAAAGCTATAAAGCTGGCATTTTTTTTTCCGAAGTCCTAATATGTTTCGCAATTCTCTATGCATCAAATCAGATTTTGAAAACACTTTTTCAGTTCCAGCAGATATTGCCTGAGCTGTGAATAATCTTTCAAATAGCACTTAAGTTTTTTTTTTTTTTTTTTTCCCTTCTAAGCACTTCTGTATTTGGTAATGGATTTCTATCACTCTAGTGCAGTCACTGAGTCATTGGAGGGATTGCTGAGAGAGAGAAACTTTAGGAAAATGCATAATAAAGTAATGTCTGTATACTCTTCTTGTAAACTTCTTAACATTTTTATTACCTTCTAATCAATTTAAAATACGTTATTTTTAAACATACTTCATTTTGAAATTTAATCAGTAATTAAAGCAGTTGATTTTAATCAACTGATTGGAATTTGCCAATCTCAATATAATTAAATTTAGTAGAGTATTACTAAAGTAGCATGTGAACTTCATTCCTAGTGTACACCTAATAAGCTTACACAGATATGTTTAAATTTATGTAGTAAAAATTGTTTTCTTTAATTTTTACAAGATTGCTGTAATTACTTGCTGTAGTTCTGTAAAGTTTGGGAATTTTTTACATAGTTAATTGCTAAATCAGATTGCAGAAATAGGTTTATGAGTACAGTAAACTCCCGATTATCCGCGGCATTGGGTGGCGCGGCCAATCGCGGATAATCCGAAAAAAGCTAAAAACGGGTATTGCAAAAGAGAAAACAGTTATTCCAACTTTGAAAAATCGTTTTATGTACAATAAACAGTAAAATAAACAGCAGGAAATGTTTAACTAACGCTTAATATTTTAGTATATCACTCAAAACTAACCTAAATTTTGTTAATGAAAACAGAAAAGTGCTTTGTACTTACGAGAGGCGTCAAGGATACACAGAAAAATTAATACATATGTACTGTTTTAATACTGTAATGTATTATGTAATTACAAAAGCATAACTGTAAAACTACACCTTTTTGAAGAAATCAGTCATTTGTGTTTTCTTCTTGCTTTGGAAGCATTTTCTCTTGATCCGAGATTGCATTTTTCGTAGCATAAGTTTCTCGGCCAATTCCGCGTCGTCTTGTTCTTCCAAATAGCTCAGCAGTCCGTTGACTTGTTGCAAAGCCCTTCGTGAGTCTTCCGCATCTGCACAGTGGGCTCCTCTTAGCCTTCACTTCGCTATCCTTCATTATTGGTCTCTCCCCTTGCTTTCTTCACAATTTCGTCATCTGTCAAGCATTCGAAGCCAGGTTCGTTGACGTCATACTCCAATCACTCGTTAATGTTTTCAGCATCGACGTTCTCACCACCCGGAACTGTTTTCACCATATCGACAAGAGCGCCGTGGGCATGTCTACATCTTCATTTACTTCTTCACAACTCAAAGGGGTTAGGTTGCTGTTGGCTTCAACATTAGGCATGAGTTTTCTCCATGATTTTATGAGGGTTGACGGTTTCACTGAGTCCCATGCAGATGCAATATCGTAGATGCTGTCCAAGATTGTGTTTCCAAAACTCTTTCAGATCATAACCTTCTTCAATTTTGGTCATTAGCAGCTTGGTTCGGTATGTTCTCTTCATTTTGCAATGACTCCTTAGTCCATGGGTTGGATTAGCGCACTAATGTTCAGGGGGAGAAACTTTGCAAAAATTCGTCCATCAGAAGACTTTAGCACGCTTGTTGCTGGGTGAGAAGGTGTGTTGTCGATCAATAGCACAGCTTTTTCAGGCAGGTTTTTCGATTAAAGATGTTTACACACTTGAAGAACAAAGATTTTTTTCGAACTATTTTTGAAAAATGTTTCGGTTCATCCGTCCTTTTTTTTTTTTTTTTTTTTTTTTTTGGTTAAAGTAATCAACGGGCAAATTTTCTATCCTTGTGTCTTTATAAAAGATATTGGTTTTTTTTTTGACTTTCCAATAACAACAAGTCTAAGTTTATGTCCACCGGTAGCATTATTGCAAGACATGATAGTGATCCTTTCCTTTCTGCTTTTATGACCCGCCGCTTTATTTTCACTTTCAAATGCTAAAGTGTGAGTGGGAAGACATTTCCACAAAAGTACTGATTCATTGGAATTGTAAATTTGTTCAAAAGATAGCTCTTCTTTTAAAACAAATTCTTCAAATTCATGGTGGAAATTATCGGCTGCTTGTTGGTCACCACTAAGTTTCTCCCCATGAAGTCCAATTTTTCGAATTCCAAGATTAAGACGAGAGAGGGCGGTGGAGCGGACTCTGCAAGGGTGAGTAAGAAATCAATTACTTATCAGAAGAGAAGGTTCTGAGAAGGCCTGGGATATTTTTGCCATAAATAAGCACGATGTTAGCAAATTTAACGTTTCGCTCAGTTTTGTGAACATTTTTATTTTCTTTGCTTTACACTTGTGTAAAAAAAAAAAAAAAAAAAAAAAAAAAAAAAGTGCGGCAGGGGCAGATAATTGAGAGTCTACTGTATGTGATATAAACTAATTCATTAGTGAAGAAAGAGTATATGTGAATTGGATGCAGCAGCTTCTAAGTGAAATATGCTTGAAAAAAATATGTAAAAGTACTATAGTCATATTTTAATTTAACTAGTTGTAAACAGAATAGGAAATTTAAAAAATCAACAGAATTTTAAATGTAACTGTTTTCACTGAGTAAACATTTGATAATAAAACAAAATTTTTCTTACATCATAGAGTTGATCTACCAGTAGAAACAGGTTTTTAGTTCTGTTAAATAATTTGTTTTAGACATTTAATTATCTGTTAACTTATTTAAGACAGTTATATATCTTTGTAATGTTTGAAATTTTTTTCAGGCTTTACGTGATAGTGTGGTCATCTTCGTCTCCAGAAGACCTTCCATGGAGGTTGGTCTACGTGTGGTGAGGGGTCCTGACTGGAAATGGGGAAATCAAGATGATGGGGAAGGTCATGTGGGAACTGTTGTCGAAATTGGAAAACCCGGCAGTTCCACATCTCCAGATAAAACTGTCGTTGTGCAGTGGGATTCAGGATCTCGTACTAATTACAGAGTCGGATATCAAGGTGCTTATGATCTAAGGACTCTGGATAATGCACCATTAGGTAAGTAGTAAAAGAAACATATCAATATTGCACAATTTTAAGTATCTAGAGTAACTCAGACCACGGCCCATTGGATAATAAAAAAAGGACCAGAGGCAAAATACATAGTTACTGCATTACAAATACAGTATGAAGTCCAAAAATAGGAACCTAATAAACAGAATGACTTATTATCCAGGCCTTCAGTAAAACCTTTTAGTTTTTTCTTCTTTTTTCTGATATAGTGTTGAAACAGATAATAAAATACTGAAGTAAAAGCAAGTGTGCTATGTATAAATTTTTATTTCAATTCACTGAGTTTTTTTTTAAATAAAAAAATATTATCTACTATAATATTCAATCATCATTCATATTGGTTCAGCTTTAAACACCTGCTGACTAGCTAATATATTTTTACTTTCACTGTTGAATGGTTGCGGAGGGGCAGTATTTTTATTATCCTATTTAGCCCTATACACAGTAAGTAAAAACTTGAGATCAGTATTTGTTTCTAGTGGAAAGTTGCATATATTGGTTTTCTTTCATTGCCATAGCAGGGAAGAAAGCAGTGATAACAATGACCCAATCATCAATCAGTTAATGAATTGCAAAACACGTAGTATGGTTTCAAAGCCACAAAATATCGCCATGGACTATGAAGAAAGTGATAAAGAGATGGAATATTTTAATTGATTATTTTATGAGAATTCTTGACACAGCAATTATAGGGTTTGAACAATAAAACTTTGTAACTGAACAAGAAAGCATATCTCAATGAAATTGAAGAGAAAGTATTAACACATAACAGTTAGCCTTATTATAATGAACTCAGCTTATAACCTCCAATATAATAAACAAACTTCTCAATCCCACCCAATTTCCTATACACTTTATATTATTTTATACAGGTATAGTAAACACCCAAATGAATAAAAATCAGACATAACAGATTTTGTGGATAGCTTGACCTGAAAATTTCTTTGTAAACATTCTTCCAAAATTTTTACAGCTTTCAACTGAAAAATTACTAATCCTTAAATTCATCTCATTTAGACTATTAGAATAATGAAAAACACTTTCAGGTTGTATGTCTTTTATTTTACACCATCACCTTTCTCTGCATTCTAAACAAAAAACTATGTTTGGCTGCTGTAGCATTCAGTTCTTCAAAAACCAGGAGGTACAATAAACACATATATCTTATTGTGTTACACGTTGAGCCAAAGAGCTTGGATCAGTTTTTGATTCCATTAGAGTTCTACAGCTGTCAGACTGCAGTCTGTTTAAGGCTGATGTTATTAATGATTGTAAATACAGTACAAAGTCTGTAATCCGGACTCATCGGGACTTTGATTCCGGATTAGGGTTTTTTCCGGATTTTAAATCATCAATTTAAATCTGGTAAGATGGCATGCAGAAATTATACAATTAAAAATATGAAACTGTAATTTATGAAGTAAAGAGCAGTTATGATCTAAAGGGTATCAAAATTTACAAAAAAAAAAAAAAAAAGCTTAATATTTATTTGTTTACTTTATTAAACATTTCTTTCAATGTAAATTGTTTAAGTATAAAAGATTCAAAAAGTTCCTTTTTCTTATGTCACATACTTTCCAATGCCATACTCCTCGTATAATTTTGAAACGAATATGCCTTTATCCATTTTTTGTAGCAATTCCACTTTTTGTTTAATGGACTTTTGTAGCAGTTCCACTTTTTGTTTAATGGACATAAAAACATACTTTCGCTTTGTAGATCCTTTGGCAGCTCCAGAATTGGAATCTCTTTTTGACATAGTCGAAAGTTCAGTCTTAATTTTTATAAAATTGTCTAACAGTCTCAAAAAACAATAAGCTGGATCCAATTAGAAGATTAAGGAATAGTTCAATATGCAACATTAACTGAATGCCTTAGAATCAGTAAAGATAATTTTAGCCTAGCTTATACCGTCCATTATGCATTAAACGCGCATGTGTAAACGCACTGCGTGCATGCGTAAAGCATACAAAAAAAAAAGTTTGTGTCTTTGAGGTCCGGATTATAGATCATTCCGCATAATGGACGTCCGGATTATGGACTTTGTACTATACATATTTTAGATGGAAATATGTATTTGGAAGAGTAGTTGTAAACCGTTCTTATGATAAGTAATTTTTCATGTAAAATTATTTATATATAGTGAAATTTGAAAACAGCAAAAAATAAATTTAGTCATTGCCCAAATACTAATTGGAGTAAATTTTAACTTTTTTTTAAAAATTGCTTTTAACATTTTTTGGGAGATGTGTCAATGCCAATCACTGTTTATATGGATTTATCAATAATTTTCCCATTATCATGTAAGATGATCCTTTTTTTTTTTTTTTTTTTTTTTTTTTATTATCACATCAGATATAGCAAATTACCAGAATAGTGAACTTTCAATCCCTTGAAGTTCATTTAGTGGGACTCAACTACGAAATAAAATTACTTAAACAACTTATTTAAATTAAATTAAAAAAATAATGAAACAGACAACTATAGCATTGAGTTTAATTATTGATTTAAATTTTGTTTTATTTCTTTTTCTTTTCCCTCTCCCCCCTTTTTATAAGTTTTATTTTAAAATTGTGCTTCATTATTTTACAAACAACCTTTGATAGTTTTATTTTTACAATTCCTACATGTAATTTTAATATATTTGAACTGAGAATTTAAAATCTAGAAATTTTCAAAAACCCTTGCAACTTCCACAACTCTTGGACTTTGTGCTGCACATGCATATTTGGTAATACACTGGTGTGCAAAAATTAAGGACGAGACGGTTTTTTCAATATAACTTTGTACAAAAGCTTTCCAAATCAACACATTTAATACCGTAAGATCCCCAATACGTAAGAACATGAGTAATGTAAGCAACATTTACTAAAAGAGAAATCAGAGGGATAAAAAGAAGCTTTATTGAAAAAGTAGCATGGAGTGCAATGCGACTGAAGGCCGAAACATCCCTGTGATGGGTGCCCATGCTGAGAATGAGGGTGTCAATGAGTTGTTGAGGCATTACTGCCATTCATCTTGCAGCACCAATCGAAGCTCCGGAATCATTACTGGTGGTAAGGTACGAGCTGCGAAGCGTCTGCCTAGAAAATCCCATACATGCTCGCTCGATGGGATTGAGATCCGGAGATCGTGCCGGCCAATCCATACGTTCAATATCCTCATTCTCTAAGAGCTGTTCAGCAGCTACTGTGCAATGGCATGGTGCATTGTCGTCCATGAAAAGGAACTGCAGACCCATAGCGCCTCTAAAAAGACGCACATATGGAAGAAGAATCTTGTTACAATAACGGGTCTCGTTGACTGAACCTGCGTCGAAGATGTGAAGGTCTGTACAACTACCAAGCATGATGCCTCCCCAAACGAGAACACCGTCACCTTCATACCTGTCCCTTTCAATGATGTTCGAGGGATGATTGCGGCTTCCCCGCTCTCTCCAGATGAGTATGCGATGAGAATCGCTACTCAGACTGAATCTGCTCTCATCTGTAAAGAGTACTCGTCCCCATTCATTGTCTCTCTCCAATTCCGGTGTTTCCCGGCACCACAGAGAATGCCTTCTCCGATGGGCAGGCGTTAGAGGTACACACCGTACAGGGCGTCGTGCAAACAACCACCACTGTGCAGTCTTCTGGCCACGGTAAAATGCAATATCGGTCACCTGTGTCGTGTGTCTAGCGATTTCTCCCGCTGTCTGCCGCCTGTTTCTTCTGGCCTGTAAGGCAATATACCGGTCATCTGCAGGTGTGGTACCTCGTGGACGACCACTACTAAACCCTCGTATAGCTGTTCCTGTAGTTCAAAATTGTCTCCAAAGTCGTGAAACGATGCTGTGAGCAATTCGGAACTCTGCAGCCACACTTGTCACACTGCTGCCTTCCTCCAACTTCCCAATGATTCGACCTTGGGTAAAAGCATCCTTATGTCGTCTAACAGATTGATTATTCGCCATTTCTCGCTGAGGCAGCAACTCAGTGTGATTGTAACTGCTATACGGCGTGCAATCTCTTTGCCAGAAATACTGATCTTACACCGACAACATGCTTTATACTACTCAGACACTCCCCCATTGCATCTACCTGCATATCTGCGCATGTGCTACCGTACATCACCTTACTTAATCTCCTGATTGGTCTTTCTGTCCGCTCTGCCTCTTCGTTCAGCTGATATGCTAATTTTTCGACTTCATCCTTAATTTTTGCACACCAGTGTATGCCAACGTTCATTAGTGGTAGCAGGTATAGTGTGCTACATGTAGATATATATTGTCCTGCTGATGAATTACTTTAGTAATAGTATGCACTGAAGATAGGATAAAACTTTAAGCTGCTATAATCCAGATGTACTCATGTATTGTTTTGAGACCTTCCATATGTACTGTTGTTCTAAGCACTGGTAATACATATGAGAAAGCATCTTACAACATATGTTTAGGGCAGGATCCATGTGATGCTGCATCATGGTATTAAACATAGATTTGTCTAATAAGATAATATGTGTAAAAGAGAGCGAAAGTGATTAAAATAATTTTTGAAAAAGTTACTGTTCATTTTCATAAATTGTATATGTACAGGTTATGTTATATATACCAAATAGAATGTTCATTATAGTCATACATACAGAATAAAGCACCTACATAATTGTTAACAGTAGCTGCTTAGATATTTGCAGCATCCATTCCAGTTACCAGCTGAGAAGAATGATATAATATACAGTTTTTGCAATAGATGCTGAAAGTAAGAGCTTAGTCTGTCATCACTGGTTTCATTAAGAGAATTAAATTGCGTCTTAATCTTGGAATGAGTTTATAAATGTGCTGTAGTCAAACCAGATGAGAGTATTTCTTCTCCGTGTTATTTTTGAGTGAAATTTGGGAGCACACTTTCATTGTTTGTCTAATTAGTGAAAAATATCTCACAAATAGGGAAAGCATATGGAAAAATAATAAAATGGTTCCATTGAAAGTAATTTAACCACCTACAGATGTACTAATTGATGCTGTTCTTTTCAGTGTAGAACAATTAGTCATTAATGCTAGTTTCTTTCTTTTCTTTCCCCCCTTTTCTTTTTCTTTTCTTTATATATATATATATAATTTTACTGCTTTTATTAACAAATCGGGCCTTTTCGTTTTTCATAGTAGCTTCATCGCCCGCTAGCTTGAAGAATTACGACTTTATAACAAATGGCTGTTTTTTCCTTTTACTCTTGCTTTTGTGGCCAAGTTTAGTAGTTTTAGCTGAATTAGCCATTTTCACTTTCAGTAACAATTTTTTCTTCCAACTACATGTCAGACGCCATTTGAAATCTTTTCACGTTTTTTCTGAGTTTTCCGACCCCTTTCGATAATTAGAAACGAGTTGCAGCTAATGGACAGTCTTTTCGTATTGGCTGATGCCCACAGAACATCGCTCCCCCCTACATACGTCACATGACTGAAATACACAGAAGGGAATTACAACTACTTTTCAACTTAGTTTTAAGAGGGAGAGCTCTGCATCGCCACGGGTCAGTTTTTTATGTTTCTTTTGTTACAACTTTTTCTTGGTTTTAGCAAGACCCACTTTGTTAGTTTTCATCTTAATTTTCTTTTAATTTTACTACAGATTTCTAAAATATATAAAATTATAAATCTTTAAGCTTGCAGGCCCAGCCCGTATGTTTTTGTATATTAAGGACTAATAGCAGACTGCTATTTATTTTTATTTTTATTTTTATTTTAGTCTTGATTTTAGATGTAATCGGAATAGTTTTTACATATTTTAACACCTTAATGTGTCATTTTGTGCGGACGCGTCGGGAAATTGGAACAGAGAATTGAGACTAATAAATTTTCCAAAATACTTTGCCTCAATTAAAAAAATTTTGTAGCGAAAATGTTTCAATTGTCTGTTTCGGCGAAACACGTAATGGGGTTAGCTTGATTCGACGTTCAAACCTGAAATTTCCCTTGAAAAGCCAGTTTGGAAGTCGAGTTCGGCTAATTTACCATTTTCCGCTTACTTTTTTATCTGATTTTGTTTTTTAATGTTTTACTTGTTACATGGTTTGATTTTCATATGTATTAATTTTTTAAAACGTGTTGAACTTTTTGGAGTAACAGCTCCTGGTAACTCTTAGGCGAGCTTACTACAATTTCTAATTTACTTATTTTGCAGCATATTGCGCAAAATGTTATCTAGACAAAATTGGTCATTCAGTATTGTAATAACTACCTTGCTTGTTATTATATATATATATATATATATATATATTTTGGAAGGGGGAAGGGTAAAAAAATCTTGAATTTAACATGAAAAAGGATAAAGTTAGTAAATAAATTTTGGAATAGTTGTTGGAATTTCAGATGAAACATTTTCTTTTTATCTAATAAAAGTGCACTGAAGTTTTAGTAAATAATATTGTATTCTGCTAAGACTTAACTTTCACTTATGAAATTTATAAAAATTAATTTACTTTTGTGGAACCTTCTCACCCAAAGTACTGAGACTATTTTCTGCATGTAATTGGAAATAAATGTCTAGGATCAATGTTTGAGGAATCAATAACTTTTCTGATCATCATATGGGAAGATAGGTGTGGTGATATTTTAGTTAATTTATATATTAGTGTACTTTTACTAAACATGCGTATTAAGGAAACCATTTTATCTAACATACATGTGCATTTAGCCTTTAATTCAGCTACAGCCCCGCTTTGGAACTTCACAGTTTTTGAATGAAATTGAAACTCTGGCATAGCACACTTGAATCCCAAATGAGATGAGCTACAATACTTCGTTAAACAACTGAACCACAGAATTTGCAGAAAATTGCATTAATAATGCAAACATTTTATTTAGAGTTAGGAAACTGATATTAGATACTGAATGTATATCTCAGTTTCTCTGTACACAACAGAGTATGCAGGAAAATTTAGGCAACTGAGGATGACTCCCCCCATGCTGAAGTACTATTTCATCAGGAAAAGAATTTTTATAAACATTACTGATTTGGCTTAAAACAGATTAGATGTCAAAATAAAGATGCTGTTTTATCCAATCACAAAAAATACTGTTCACCTTCTTTTTCCAAATTCTTATTACTTTTAATTTAACAACTTTTCATTTTTTCAAATTTATATCAGCTAATATTAATTTACTCATTGCATTTAATTTTTTTATGTTCTAATTTATTATAATTCTTTAGTTCTGATATTTTAATTTACTTATTTATAACTGATTTATCACAATTAATTTTTTTCTCTATATTTTGTTTCATATTAATTATTCATTGCATATTATTTTATTTGTTATCATTTTATTTGTTACCATTTTATTTATTAACCTCTGATTTATGCAGCTTGTATAAGTTTTAAATCAAACATTTTATTATTATTTCTTGCTCAAGTGATAATTATTTTTTAAATATTAATTTTTTTCCTAATTATATAAACTCTGTCTCTTTCTCACCTTTTCCATATTTATTCATTTCTTATTTTGTAATAAAGCATTCATTATGACATTTGCTTATTTCTTAATTTTAGGTGTGAAACATCCAAACATTATCTGTGATTCTTGCCGGAAACAGGGTATAGCTGGAATGCGCTGGAAGTGTACTCGGTGCTATGATTTTGATCTCTGCACTCAGTGTTATATGTCAGACAAACATGATTTGACTCATCCATTTCTAAGACTAGAAACAGCGGCATCAACTGGGTATTTTTTTTATATTCATGATAATTTTCTTAATATGAATTTAATTCTGTGATACTTAATTTTATTTTCATTTTACGCCATAATATGGCATTCATTTGCACAGTTTCTGTTATTCTTATATCCAGATTTTGACAAGATTTTCTGATGTACAAGGATTGACTAAAAATTTTGAAACTACCTCAGTTCCTCTTTTTCAACATTAGATATAGTAACTTTGCACTATGTTTTGTAAAAGTTATTGATCAGCTTGTTAGAACATGTAGTTGGACACCCATGGCCCTCAGTGAGTAGAAGTGCTGCTATATTTTTTGGCAGTGGGGTAAAGAAGACTTATCTGTGTCTATTTAGTAGAGCATTAGTGTGATTACATTTTGTGTTAAATACTTGAAATGTTACAGTATGCATATGAAGATGAAGCATTTAACTGTGCTTCATTCAGTAATTATGTAATTCATAGGAGGCACTTCTATGGGATTACATGGAAAGGATTTGGCTAGTTATCCATTGTAGTTATGACTCAGCATTGCACATATACGAGAGTGAATAGTGACTGTCATAGATTTGCAATGTTGATATCCATATTTGAAGTATTTCCTAGGAATATAATTAAATGTTACTCACAGTTACACAGTTAAAGAAGGGGAGGAAACGTTGAGGACGAGTAAAATGAATTATTTTGAGTAAGAAAATTGGTTTCAATTATTTGAGTAAAAAAATTAAGCCACATATTATATTTTACCTTTCTGATGTTAAATATGCATTTGCAAATGTAGGGATAATAAAGAAAAACAAATTTGTTAAGATTTTTAAAAATATAATTTATTTAATTTGGTAAATTGCTTGCTGTAAATTAATTTTTACTACACTTTCATTTTACAGACTAATGAATTGAATAGTGTATGAAAACAGTAAGTAAAGCTGTTTCTTAGCAGCTGAATAGATCAGATGCAGGACATTAGTGTTTCTTATGAAATTCAGTTTTGACAGCTGAATGAGTTGGCTGTTTGGTGTTTTTGTGGTTTTCTCGCATGTGTATAGGCTGTGTATGCTAGCTTCTCTTTTAAAATAATTTGTAAAAGCTGTTGAATGTTTGCTATAATAATCAAATCTATCCTTAAATTTTACTTCACATGAATTTTTTCTGGGAGGTACAAATTTAGTTTCTGAAAAAGATATTTATTTTTCAAATAGGAAATGAAAATGCTTGACTTAGAAAGAATACATATGTGGGGCCTTATGTTATTATGACATCAGTCAAACAGTTATTATATTTCATTTTAAAAGCATTTATCCTGGCATATTAAGCTTTTTACTCATATTTAACTTGGGGTTTATTGTTTTTCTTGTCTAATTTAGCAAATCTTATTTCTTCACTTTTATGCATCAGTTGAATAAATATAGTCATAAATATGTCATAAAGTTGCATAGTATTCTGGGACATATTGTATTGGTGAAGCATACTATATTTACTGATTTATATTCAGAATCTGAGGCATGTTACATTTGCTGCATTAGAATGCTGCATAAATTCTGTAAAACCAACATTAATCAAAGATTGAAATTTGTCTGATCCTAAACCTAGATGAAATTTCTGGCTTACATAAAATTTGATTTGCTTATTTATTCCTTGGAATGTGATTCTTTTGTTAGTCGAAGCATATGTGCACTCTCATTTTTGTGATATTAATAGTCATTAAACTATTTATCATTGGTATTAATAGCCAGTTTGTGAAATCAGACTAATAATTAGTCATATTCTCGAATTTGCCATATATAATTTTACATATTTAAAAGTTTACAAGTTGTTGCACATTACAGTTGTCCAAAATTACTGTTTTTTCATAGTACTGATTATTTTACATCTGTATTGTTGATTATTAATAAATTTGTTTTAATTCCAGTAATACGAGGGCCATCCAGGAAGTAGATTACGTTTCCGTCTGTGTCCGCTAGGGGCGGGGCTAGCGCGGCCATCTTGGGGTCAGAGTGTTGCGCAGCTCAGTCTGCATCTAGCCGTGCTAGTGAGAGGTTCGTGCTGTGCTCCGTTCAGATACTGTGACGGTTTGAAATGTCTGCGTTAATTGAAAATCCCGCGAGCTGCGAGGTGCGCTCAGTAATAAGGTTTCTGACTGCAAAAAACTGTAAACCGATAGAAATCTATCGGCAGCTTCGTGAAGTGTATGGGGACAACATTATCACTGAAGGTGGAGTGCGTCAGTGGGTCATAAGATTTCAAAATGGCCGAACCAATGTTCACGACGAAGATCGAAGTGGGAGACCCAGCATAGTGACCGCCGAACTTCTCGAAAAAGTCGATGCTAAAGTCCGTGAAAATCGAAATTTCACAATAACGGAACTTTCTTTGAGTTTTTTCCACAAATTTCGTGAAGTTTGTTGCACGAAATCATCAGCGAAAAGCTTGGTTACCACAAGTTTTGTGCAAGATGGAAGGCAAGAAGAGGTAACGAAGTGGTTGAAGGCGCAGGCGGCCGAATTTTTCGACGAAGGAATTTCCAAGCTCGTACATCGCTACGATAAATGCCTTAATTTTTATGGTGACTATGTAGAAAAGTAGTATTTGAGTGTGGCTTTCATCTGTATATAATAAAATTTGTTTCCTATACTTTGTTTATTTTTTTATTCCAAAACGTAATCTAATTTCTGGATAGCCCTCGTATTTCTCCTTTCCAGTGTAGAAGACATATAAAATATATGATTAATAAGGATATGGTTGAGGATATTCTGAAAATGCATTAAATGTGTGTATTTGATCTAAAAAAACCGTAGCTGGAGGCTTAGAATGCATAATATTAGGAATGTTATATGATAACCTCAAACTTATTGGCAATTTAACTTTCAAAACTTCTTTTGCCTAGATTAGGTATAATGTTATTAGCAAAGTGGCAGTGAAATATTGTCTGACCACATTTAGTGCAACCTTGAGGGCTCTCTGTCAAGTACATAAATCATGAGTTAGAATAATGCTTATCTCATCATTAGATAGAAGATGTTAGAACAATGTTTTCTCTGCTATCAGCTCTGTTCTTCAAGCTATATATGTGCTTAACTGTTCTGTTACCCCCTTTGTTGATCGTACTTATAAAAAATTCAAACACAAGATTTCCTCATTTATGAATGACATCAATTCTTGATCCAAACACCATGTGTGCATATATATATGCTGATGGTTGCAGTATACGTCGTTATACAGAATAAGGGAGAGCATATATTTAATTTAAGTTATGTGATGTATACCAATATTTGAAAATATTTTAAAGAGTTGTAAAAAAAAAAAAAGAAGAAGAAGAAAAGAAAAGAAAACCTAGACACGAATTTGTGTGATGTGCTGCAAGATTTGGAAATAATAAATCGAATTCTCAAAAATCGTAATGAAAAAGAATAAAATGCTGTATTAAATATTTGAAGGTTCATTGTATTTTCTCCGTGTTACAATATGAACTGATAAAACTCAAATTAAAGAAAATTGCAATAAAAAATACTCACTTCAAAGAGGCAAAAATATAAAAAACGGGAAATTTGTCCATAATGAAACTAAAAAATAAAGAATTTTTATCTCCTTTGTTTAGCACTTCAAACAGAACTTGTCAAGAGAAAAGTGTTTTGAAGCCTCAAACCAAGTTGATTAATGAGTGACAAGCAACATGTTTTGTACCACTGAATTCCCTGAGACTTCAAACCGCTTTAAATTAATGCAGTTTTCTTTTCAAACAGAGGAATGGTAATATTGTAAAACATGTTCCGATTTGTGAAAATAATTGTATTATCTTTAATAGCAACTGTCTTGAAGTGGGCTAATCGTTGCTAAATTCATCCCCCTTACACACTGGATGTAATTCAGTGGTTGTAAGGAAGAGCTTATGTTAATTTTCCCACTACATTAAAGAACTAATGTGCACTTTTTTGCATGGGTATGAGAATGGTAATGTTATATGATATATTCCGATGTCTGTAAAAATAACTGTATAAAACAGTCTAAATATTTACAGAATTCTTTTTAACTTTTGCCATTTGCTTTTCTTCGATAATTTGATGTCTTAATATGTTGTGTTTAAGTCTATAGAAGCATCACATCGTAGATAGGATTTCAATGTGCTTTAATTTGTGAACTTTATGCCAGGGCAAATGCTGAAGGCCTTAAAGGCAAAACACTAAACACATATGCCACTTGCTCTAACTAATTGCAGGCTTTTCAGTCAGTATTATTTCTGCAAATTTTCAGACATTTTTTTGAAGCAGAGCGGAAATCTAGGTTGCTTGAAGGCCTTTATTCTAATTTAACTCACTGCCTACATATAGAAAACATTTTGGGTGGTTGAATAATATCCAAATAACATGTCACTTTTATATTTTATACAATGATTTATATATATTAATTCACCTTTGGTAAGGGGCTTATAAATTTATTAGCAAGTTTAATGCTGATCGAGGAAGTAACTGAGATCTGATGTGAAGAAACTGTAAAAGAATAAACTTTATATCTTTTAACATTTTCTTAAAGTTTCTTTTCTTTTGATTTTAGTGTAGAAATGCCAAAAAGACAAGGTGCTGTTCGCCTGCAAATGAAAGGAATTTTTGTTTCAGCTAAAGTTGTTAGAGGACCAGATTGGGATTGGGGCAATCAAGATGGTAATTTTTTACATATTAATTTGCTTTTTTACTGTCCATTTATTGTGTAATGATTAATTATATAATTTATGTGATAAAAAGAATTTGAAGTAAATGAGCATTAGTAACAAAATTATATAACAACAAAATTATCAGTTATTGAAAACTTGGCAATTTTGATTCAGATAAATAGAGGGTTATTTGGTTATTCAAAAAGATGGACCCAATTTAATTACTTTGCATATCGCAAAGTATAAACTGGGCCTGAACAATCTACATACTAATGAAAAGAGGAAGTTTCAGTTTGTGTGCGGCCCACCAGCGGCCGAGCGGTAAAGTCGCTGAACATTGGTAGTTCGGTCCGAGGTTCGAATCCCGCGAACGGGCTGGCTGCATGGGCGTTTTCGTGGTTTTCCCCATGTGTAACATGTATATGAGCCAGTTTCCCTTAGAAAGTCCTCCACGAAGGCATCCCTTCCCTTAGGCAGATAACCCTCGTGTGCTTTGCCATAACTCAACACACACACAGTTTGTGTGCACAGGACATCCCTCACGCAAAAAAGCATATCATGTGTTACTGAATGCACCGCAACAGTGACACAGTTCTGCTTTTTGACCTGAGTTGTTGGTAGCGGTGGGACATAAACAGCCTCCGTAAATTAGCCCCACAAGAAAAAGTCACACAGCATGAGATTCAGAAATCTCGGTGGCTAGAATTGCAGAGCCAGGTCTTGCAACCTGTCCATTGCTGGAGAACGGATTGATTTAAAATCCTCAGGCATCACAGTGCCAAAGTGGTACAGCTCCATCCTGTTGGAAAATAAAGTCATGAATCTTCGGTAGTTTGAGGAAAAAGCCATTGTTCAACATGTCCAGGTACTTTATTCTACTTCACAGTGCTTTCTGCAAAAAGAATGATCCATACACTTTTGTCCAGGATACGACTTAGAATATGTTTAGCTTCACTGAGTGTCTTTCATGTTGCAATTTTGGACAGGGATTCTACAAACCTCATATATATGAATGTTGTGTTGATTCACTTTGCCACAAAGATGGAGTGTAGCTTCATTGATGAAAATTAATCACAGTTAAAATGTGTCATCCTGCATCATTTCTAGCTAACTTCAATACACTTTTCTTTGTCATTTTCACTGAGAGCCTGCATAAGTTATAAGCAGTAGGGCTAGTACAGCAAATGCCATCTCAAAACATGCCATACACTTGGAGTATTCCTAGTTCTCTACTAGCTCTATTAGTTGACTTTCTTGGACTATGCACGAAACTGTCTTTTATTCAACTAATGGCATCCTCTGACACAAGTGGTCAGCCCGAGCTTTTTCCTTTGCAGAGATATCCAGTTTCTTGAAATTATGTAAGTCAGTGTTCGATGCTTTTCCTAGTTAGTGGGTTAATGGCAAATAGAACATGAAATACCTGCTGCACTGTAACTGCTGACTCGCACTTCTTGCAAACCCAAGAATGAAGAAAACTTTATGCTACATTGTAGCCATCTTACTGACAACTGATAGTGAAACGAAATACCTGCCTATTGGTGCAGGTACCCTATTGGTCATTTACGCAATTATCACTGTGCCAGCTGCGGTAAACAGAACTTTGGAACTTTCTCTTTCCTTCGGTGTGTAGACTGTTCATACCGTATGTAGACTGTTCATACTTTGTGATTGACTTTCCATGTATTGATTCAGAAGTCAAACAACAAAAATCAGCGTTAATTCACAAAATTTTTTTTGATTTTTGTTGTTTGACTTCTGAATCGGTATTTATTCGGCGTGTTATTGCGTCTTAATTTTCCATGTATTATTTCTGTTTTCTGTAATATTTATACGCAGTGCTACAAGAATCGTCAAATGTGCAGTGGGGGTTTTCAAGAAGCATTGCAAAGAGAAGTGTATGTGTGTGGAAGTGATTCGTGCATTAGAAAAAGGATTATCAAAATATTATGTATTTGTATCAAAGTGTTATGTTTGTACATATTTGTGTTAATAGGAGAAAATAATTACACTAATATCAACAATTGAGACTTAGGATTTGCTAAAACTATGTGGCCACTGAGTGGTCCCAAGCCAAAAATTAGCTATTGCTTGTGATATATTTGTGACAGGTGAGAAATAACAGTTTTCATATGCTGCAGTTAACCTCTGATGTGGTTCTAGATTTTTGAAGTAACCCTTGAAAAGTCTCTGGAAATGTCCAAGTATGTTTTACATGCCATGAATTAACCAACTATTTTCCACTTTTGGCCTTCATCCATATGCCTTTCAGACACGATAATTCTTATCGTACCACTTTCACATTTTATATTTTTTAAAGATGTGTGTTTCCTTTTATGATTTGTCCATATATTTTCTGTTTATATGTCCTATATGCAAGTATCTGCACTTCAGTAAATTTTTGTAACTGATAACTCCCATGAATAATTACACTTAATGAAAGTTTAATCTCTGTATGGTTAGCATCACTTAAACAATAATAAAATTTTGAACACCAGTGTGTTATGTGGTTCAATAGCTGGCACATGCTGCAAAATAAAAAACTGTTTCATAATAGTAATAAAATAAGTGGGTGGGAATAAGATGCTAGTTGGATGTTTCCTACTTTCTCCTGAAGTGTTTATAAAGATTCCCCCCCCCCAAAGATATTCATACCATTATCAAAATAAGATTTCTTTGCATTTTTTCTTCCAAAGTTTTAAGTTCTTCCTTAAATTTTAAAAACTTATCCCCAGCTCCTGTTGCTATTTTGGAACAGTCAAAGAATACTTAACAGAAACTGCTATAAAATGTTATATATGAGTACATTTAATTTCTGCCCCTCTCCTAATTTTTATTCAGTTTAATAAGAAATATTGACTATTCTTCATTTAATTAAATGTATTCTATAAAATTTTCCTCTTCTACAGTTTCATAAATATTTTTCTATTTCAGTCTAATCTCCTTTCTTAAGGATAATGGTTATATGCATATCAGTTTTTAAGAAACTTGATGATGTTTTTGTATATATATCATTGCAGGTGGAGAAGGAAAAACTGGAAAAGTTCTTGACATTAGAGGATGGGATAATGAATCTGAGAGGAGTGTTGCAAATGTAACTTGGTCATCTGGCTCAACTAATGTTTATCGCTTAGGTCATAAAGGAAAAGTTGATCTTAAATATACCCAAGATGCTGTTGGTGGTTATTATTACCGAGATCATCTACCAATCCTTGGTAAGGTTTCTTTTTTCATTTGCGTTTTGTAAAAAAAAATACTGGTGGCCATTTGCTACTCTATCTTTGAGACATGTTATTAACTTTAAAAGTGGCAAAATGTTGCACCTGAAAAATAGAAGTACTGTTAAATCATATTAAGGTAATAGTTTCAGGAATAAAAATAAACTTTTAAAAGTGCTTTTAATGTGCAGGATAAAAGAGAACAGAATCTCCAAGATTTTTATTTTCTGATTAATGGTTTGAAAGTTCCAGAGCTATTGGGTTGGAGGGAAAGTTCTGTCGTATTTTAAAGAAAATATTTGAATTCATTTATAAAAATATGTGTTTAATATTAATCAATTATATATGCTCCATTATTTGTTACAACCTGTTGCCATCTTCCAGGTAACCTGTAAATTCCTGTTTTGTAGGAGTTCTCATCCATGGAGTTAAAACAGTCAGCAACTGCCTTAGAAACACTTTCAAAAGACTTGAATTTTTTTCCCGTTAGATAAATTTTGCAGAGATCTGAACAGGTAATAATCAGAGGGTGCAATGTCAGGTGAATACGGTGGGGGGGGGGGTGACTAAGGACTTCCCATCCTAACGCATTCAGTTTTTGTAGTGTCACCACTGCAGTATGCGGGCGAGCATTATCGTGATGGAACACTATTCCTTTTCTGGACGCTAATGCTGGCCTTTTTTCTTTGATAGCTGCATTCAATTTATCCAGCTGATTGCAGTACAGATCCGCGTTGATGTTTTTTCCCTGTTTCAACAACTCGTAATACATTGGACCTTTCCTGTCCCAACGCAAACAAAGCAGTACTTTTCGTTGATGGATACTTGGTTTTGGAACTGTTGCTGATCATGTTCCTGGTTTGCAGTAAGATTTTTTTCTCTTAATATTCTCGTAAAGAATCCACTTTTCATCTCCAGTAACCAGCCTGTCCAAAAACAGCTCCACATTGTGTCTAATCAGATGTGATGAACATATTCTTACACGATCAGACAAATTCTTTTCCGTTAATTCACGTGGAATCCAAACACTTTGCTTTAACACAAACCCAAGAGATTTAATGTGATCTCCAACAGTTGTATGATGAATGCCAAACTCTTCTGCAATTTCTCGACTTGTTAAATGTGGATTATTTTCCAACATGGATCGCAAAACATCATTATCGATCTTGGATGGTCGTCCAGATCGAACACTTTCTTTGAGGCTCAGGTCCCCGGAACGAAATTTGCTAAACCATCTTTGACAAGTACGAACATTTACAATATCTTTTCCAAATACCGCACATAAATTTTTACATGCAACAGATGCGTTGCTTCCTTTTTGGAATTCATATAAAATGCAGTGTCGTAAATGCACTTTATCTACCGACATGTTTTTCCCTTTAAATATTACAGGGTAAAAAAAATGAAGGGTAAAAAAGGGCACCTTTTATATTATACAGCAGCTTAAAAAAAAAAAAAAAAAAAAAAAAAAAAAAAAAAAAAAAAAAAAAAAAATTCCGATTGACTCACTAGCCAGATGTTTTCTTATTTACAAGAAAAATCACCTGCCTATTTAAAATACTCCCTCCAACCCGATATTTGTATGAGATCCATCATGAAGAAATCATGAGATTTACAAGAAATCAACCAAGTAAATTTCCATACGTAAATAATAAAAATGCTTGATTCCCAGATCTTGAATATTTTTATCATTTATACTTCAGGTCTTGAATTCTAAAAAGCATTTTCTTTAGAAGCTCAAAATTATTTTCCCTTTTTTGACTGATTACAGTTTTTCAAATTTGAAAACTGTTTTTTACACAAAATTATCCAAGTGAGTTAGCTACATTTGTGTGATATACATAGCTACCAACTCCCTAGTTTTCCCCTACATTTCCCAGTCTCCTGGTAAATCCCCAAATTCCCAAGCTTTTAATTTTAGTCTTTACTAAGGAAAGTGTTTTTCAGTGATGAATAAAATTTATTAGATTAATGAATTTTAAGTTGTGCAAATTTCATTTCCCTACCCCTAGTGATTTTTAACGTACTTTTTTTTCTTTTTAAATTTTATTTAATCTGAGTTAACATAGTCTGCTGTAGACATTTGTAAGAACTTTATATAAAGCAAGATTTATTCAAAAAATATTTAGATTTAGATTTGCTTTGAATCAGTATATGGGACATTATTAAGTTTGTTCACACAATAGTATGCACATTAATTGTTAATTTATTTTTGTCATGTTTAAAAACTTTCATTCTCTGCTTAGGATTTTTAAAATTGAGAATATGTAATTAAATATTAATATAATTTACAGCAAAATCATATAAATAACTGAATAACTTGAATTATGTATTACAAGGCATATTTAAGTAAAGTTCTTGGCATTGCACAATAAGAAGAGCTATCTGAAACTCTTAGCTGTTTCAGTGTAATATAGTAATGACCTTATCAACTACGGTTGTGATTATTATGTGGTTGATGCTAGAATAATTAAGTGATCTGAACCTGAACATTCATTTGCTCAAGAGGATGAAACTAATGCTGTTTATTATATTGGAATACTTAAAAGCATATAAAATGCATTTAAATACTGATACCAAAGCTAATTTATTAACAGAGGACATGTTAAAGTGCTTACTCAAGATCTTAGCGAAAATTACTGAATAATCTAGTGAAACAGATGGAAAGATACTGAGCTGGTTCACTTATCCCTTTCTAAAGTTTCTTTTTAATCGTGGGAACTAAATAAACTTGAAGAAAAAATGTCTGTAAGAATACTTTAAAATATGATTATAAGAAGTATAGCAAAAAGTATAATGAATAGATATTAATTTTGGAAACATTTCTGGTACTGTTCTGTTATTAGGACCGAGTCTAAAAATGGGTGTCCGCCGATAACATCGCGGCAAATACATCGCAGACGAAAACGTTGCGGAGAAAACAACACAAGGCGAAAACGTCATGCTACAAAACATCGTGGGAGAAAACATTGCAAAGAGAAAACATCTCATCCCTAAAACATCCTGGTACAAAACATCGTCGAAAATAAAGCGGTTCAGAAATTTCGCAGTTTAGAAACATCGACGTCGAAAATATTGTGGTAAAAAATAAAGTATCTACAAATCATCGCATGACGATAACATCACAAACATGCTTTTTTCAGGCTTTAATAACTGTAAATGGAAATATGGTTCTAATAAGGATTTGTGAGTGCAAAATGTAAAGAAGGATAATTTTTACTTTCACAGTTTTTTATTGACTAATAAATTTTTGCTGGAAAAGTTAAATTATTGCATTAATTAATTAAAGGCAATAATAATATGCATGCTTATTGTACTTTTCATGAAAAATTACCAGTAAAAACTTTATAAAAAGGATTTATTAATGGCCTTTGCTAGTTAACTATGTTGGTTTAAAATTCTATTGAGTGCTATAAGTTGCATTAATTTTCTATGCTTAAGTTTCCTTCTTATTTTCTCAGCCAAAAACTTATTAGTAAATAAAAAATATGAAAGTAAAAAATATCCTTCTTTCCATCTTGCACTCACAAATCATTATAGGAATATCCATTTACAGTTATTAAAGCCTGTAAAAAGCATATCTGCAATGTTATCGTCATGCGATGATTTGTAAATACTTTATTTTTTACCACGATATTTTTGAGGACGATGTTTTTAAACTGTGAAGTTTTTGAACTGCTTTATTTTCAACGACGATGTTTTGTACCATGATGTTTTCTCTTTGCGATGCTTTCTCCCACGATGTTTCGTAGCACGACGTTTTCGCCTTGCGTCGTTTTCGTTCGCGATTCTTTCGGCTGTAACCCTAGAAATGTATGTATGTATGCATGTATGTGTTCATGTATGCATTTATATATGTATGTACATATGTATCTGTGTGTGAACAAACATGTATACATGCATACATATACTTCTGAATCCGGTCCTGATTCCTGATAGCAGAAGTGTACCACATTTTTTAAAATAGTTTTATTATGTTCTGCTCTATAGAAAAGAAAAATGTTAATAAAATAAATTTGGCATTGACTAAGTTTTTTTAATGGCTTAATACGTAAGCTTAATACATACTCATAATAATTATTTTATTGCTAATAAATGTTTGTATTTTGTGACAGTGTATATAAACTTCCATTTTCTAGGTCAAATTGTTGAGGACAATAGTAGCAAACCCACCGCTTTAAACCATCCAAGATTTAGTGTTGGAGATAAGGTCCAAGTGTTGCTGGATATCGAAACACTAAAAATTATGCAAGAAGGGCATGGAGGATGGAATCCAAGAATGGCTGAGGTATGTAGCTTTTTCTATTATAAACTTTGTAATGGATGAAAAATCATTGTATCATTTACAATATACCTACTTTCTTTCTGCATTAAAATTTTCAGAAACATTTTTTTTTAAATATCTTTTCTTTATCCCCCCCCCAAAAGGAGGGTTAAAATGCAAAGTAGTGTTTATGCGAATTTTTACTTTGTGAAATCACGTGCAAGGTTCAGAAGTTGGTTATAGCTGGCTATAATACCATAACTTCACAGAATTTTGTACAACTGTACTTTTTCTTGAATTTTTTAGCAAACTACTTTGTCCACGGACTAGGAAAAGTTTCTAAACTTGTGGAGGAATATTTTGCAGCATTTTATATTGAATAAATGAAGGATATAACTGGGGCAACAAAATATAGACAAGGATGATTATGATCGAGATACAGCCTGCATTCTGGATTTTTTACTTTCTCAAATCCAGATTTTCTGGATTTATGAAATATAGACTCATAAATTTTCTCAAGTTTTAATTTTAGAACAAGTGTATAATTCAGACATTATAAAAATTTAAACTTTTAGACTATATAGAGTTCAAAGACTGGAAAGCACAGTGAGAGATCATACTTCGTATATGAGCAAAATGAATGTGCTAAGAAATTTGTCTTATACAGAAAAGTCATTTTTTTTGCATTATACAGAAAACAAGAAAAATATTGAAGGTTTTGCTGGTGTATTCAAGTTAAAAGAAAATGGAAAACAAAAATATCCAGTGTTAGCAAAACTTATTAAATCTGTTTTCATTGGTTTCATGGGCTTGTTGCAGAAAATTCATTTATGTATATGGGTAATATTATGAAAGAATGTGGAATTTCTTTGAACACTGATAGCCTAGATGCTATACAGGCTGTGAAATATTATTTATTCTCACTAGACAAAAATACATATGTATCTTTTGAGTCAGAAAATGCTTCTGAAGACCCTGTTCGTAAAGATGTTATGAATAATTTATTGAATAACTGGACAGCTTGCCAAAATTATTTACATTCCATTAACCAATCTGTTCTTTCTAGCAGTCTGTCAACTCCAGCACCTATTAGTATGCATGCTGCAAGTTCTAATATAAATTCATTATCTATAGCAAAATGTCTTGCTAGTTATACTCGTTAGATTATTTGTATATGGCAAAGAATTTGAGGGCTATGTGCCTTGCTGATCAGACTGAACTTTTTGTTAATCGCAGAGAAAAATATAAGTGCAGTAGTTTCCAGAACTTACTCTTTCTTTCCTGCGTAGCAAGCTAAATATTAATTTATAAGTCAAACAACAAAAAACAGCATTACATTTGCAAATTTTCACTGGGCTAGTTTTGATGGTTTTACCGAACCATCATCCTCAGCTGCCAAAGAGGAAATGAATTTTTTGTGCTGAGGATGATGGTTCAGTAAAGCCATTGAAACTAGTCCTGTGAAAATTTGCAAATATAACGCTGATTTTTGTTGACTTCTAAATTAATATTTGTTTGCCGTGTTATTTTTACCTAAATTAGCAAGCTAAAGTTAGCAGTTATTTTTATTTTTTTTATATTAGAGACTAAATGGCAGGCATCTATAGAAAATGATGTAATGAAACATAAATTAATTTTTAATAAATTTTTCATATATGTAATGCTAACTTTGGATTGGATTTCTTTATAGAAATAATAAAAGTCAAAATTTATTTGTTACCTATTTAAAAGAGTATGAAAAGTTTTTGAGACTTTAATAAATATGTTTTCATTTTTTTCTCAGTTTGTTGGCAAAGTAGGCACTGTACATCGAGTGACTGACAAAGGCGATATACGTGTTCAATATGAAGGCTGCAACAATCGCTGGACATTTCATCCTGGAGCATTAAAAAAGGCAAGTTTTACAGAAATGCTCTTTTTAAACTTAATATTTTAATTTTCATAAGGTTACTGGAAAGTTTTGGTCATTTCAGAGCTTGGCAAAAAAAAAAAAAAAAAAAAAAAAAAAAAAACTTCCATATTTTTACAAAATTTATACAGGGTATTTATAAAGTGTCTATATGCTTTTGCTTTAAAGAGGCTTTATTCCGAAATATAAGTTATTTACATGAAAATGCAACATTATAGAACACTAAATTAGTGCAGTTCAATGTCTCCCCCCCCCAGTGTGTCTAGTTCAGTCCGAAGCACAATTGCCACCATTTCCACTACACATCAGAATACCTTATGTAAACTTTTTGGTGTAATTTCAGCTGCTGCAGCCATAATTCACTGTTTTAATTGTCCAGTGCTGCCAGTATTCACTCAGTACACTTTGGACTTGACAAAATCCCATACAAAAAAGTCTAGGGAAGTTAATTCTAGTGATTGTAGAGCCCAAAGCCATTGAGAGCCATGACCAATCCACTTATCAGGAAAAGTTTCATTAAGATTATTACGCGCAATAATAGCAAAATGGGGAGGTGCCCCATCCTGTTGGTAGACAGCAGTGTCAATAATGCCATCTGATACAAACTGTAGCTGAAGATATTGTTGCAACATAACAAGAAAAATTTCTCCAGTGATGGTCCTTTCTGCAAACCTGAAAAGTCCACAGGGTTTAGTTATTCCAACCTATACATTAACTTTACATATGTCTCCCTGAGATTCGTATAACACGTATGGTTGTTCATCAGCCCTAATTCGGCAATTATGCCTATTAAAATGGCCGCTGAGATGGAATGTGGCTTCGTCACTAAAGAAAACACTCTCCATTATGTTCTCATTATCCGCAGCTTCCAACAACAAATCATAACACATTGGTTTGCCCAGCTGCATAGTCCTCAGTTTCAAGTTTATGCACAGTTTGAATGTGGCAGGCATCCTTGTTTAAATGACAGCGTAGAGTTTTCCAAACAGTAGTATGCAAAATACCAAGTTCCAGGCTGAGTCTTCGTGTAGATGCATGGAGGCTATGTATAATCGCTTCGTGTATGCTTTACTCAACTTGTGGTATTATTGAAGATCTCCCAGAATGGTCTTCATCTTTAATGCTACCAGTTTGCTTGAATTTGTTTACCAAGATTTTAATAGCTGCTCTGGTAGAGGCTTGTTTTCTGAATTTGCAGACAAAGTCCTCCTGCACCTGTTAATATGTTAATCCACATGTACAGGCACAAACGGTGGTTATTCTTTCCTCTGTTCACAGCATTCTTTCAGATCGCCTCCAAAGAATTTGGAATTAGAATTTATTTCTCAAAAATGTATAGAGACTTTATAAACACCCTGTGTAGGTGGAGCATATAAAAGAGTGTATGAAGCAACAAAATTTTGTGCTGAATCTTTTAACATAAACTTTCTTATGGATCTTTTAACATAAACTTTCTTATGGATCTTTTAACATAAACTTTCTTATGGATCTTTTAGTCCAGCCAGCCTGTTCACAGGATCAAACCTCGGACCGAACTACCAGTGTTCAACGATTTTACTGCTCGGCCGCTGGTGGGCCTGCATCTGTCAGGGTAGTGTGATAGAATGCAATGTAAGATATTAGTTCATAAGATTTTGTGATGGTATTTCATTAATTAAATCATGGTAAAGTATTTAATGGAGCAAAAAATATTTTTAAGCTAAGTAAATTTTGTAGCTTCTTTTTTCACCAAGAATGAAAATAAGACATAATATTCTACATATATAGACACTTGTTCAATAGTCCAAATTAGGAGCTATAGCATATTAGTAATTATACCTGCTTGTTCAAAGTTTGTTCCCTAATCCAAATTAGTTGCTGAAGTGCCCCCCCCCAAAAAAAAGGGTTCTATTGGTTAAGTGGATAACAACCTACATTCTGATAATTCTATGTGAGGGTTAAAGGTTCTAACTTTGTGGAATTTGTGTATGATTTTTTTCTTTCACACTTCACAGAAACAGTTGGAGAAGACCAAACTAAAATGATAAGTACAGTCAAAAGTCTTTAATCCGGACTCGTTGGGACTTCGGCGATTCCGGATTATCGATTTTTCCGGATTATAGATCATCAGTTTAAATCTGGTAAGATGGCATGCAGAAATTATAAAATTAAAAATATGAAACCATAATTTATAAAATAATGAGCAATTATGATCTAAAGGATATCAAAATTTACAAAAAAAAGAAGCTTAATATTTATTTGTTGACTTTATTAAACATTTCTTTCAACGTGCGCATGCGTAAAGCATACATTACGCATAGCCGAAATTAGAAAATTGCAACCAGAAAACTATTTGGTTTGTATTCGTGATATTTATAATCTGATTTAAATCATATCAAAGACAGAGTACATCGAGATGAAATACTACATATAATAAGAAATTATAAGCCGAATAAAATAAAAACATCTGCCCTGAAGATAACGAGCGTGAAATTGATAAACAGATTTCGGAACGGTTAGATAAACAAAGGATATGCCTTTATCCATTTTTTGTAGCAATTCCACTTTTTGTGTGATGAACATCGAAACATACTTTCGTTTTGTAGATCCTTTGGGAGCTCCAGCATCGGAAATTCTATTTAACATAATCGAAAGTTCAAGCTTACTTTTATAAAATTGCTCTTACAGTCTGCAAAAAATAATAAGCCGGATCCAATTCAAAGATTAAGGAACAACGCAATCATCAACATTAACTGAAATAGATAATTAGATAATTTTAGCTTATACTGCCTGTTATACATTAAACGCGCACACGAAAATGTATTCTGCGCTTGCGCAGACGCATATGCAGTCGTAAAGGTCTTGCGCGCACGCGTCAACGCGGCGCATGCACAGAAAGATTTTAGTTTTGAGGTCCGGATTATAGATCATTCCGGATTATGGGTGTCCGAATTAACGACTTTTGACTGTATTGATAAAGCAGTAGAGTGTAGAGATGTTGTATATAGAGAGACTATGTATATATATATGTCGAGAGAGTATGTATGATAAAACAGTATGTATTTTGTATATATATATATGGAGAGAGAGGGGGGGGATTATGGAAAATTAAATTTTTTATAATTTAATATTTTTTTTGTTTTTGTTTTCCAAGCATTTCAGTTACAATGGACTTTTGATATGATAAATTTGTACTGTGTAAAAAAAGTTTGCAAGTAGGAATATTAAAAAAGCATGTTTTTATGGCACTAATATGATAATTAATAAAAATGTTTGTCTAATTAATTGAAAATTTGTGACAGTTAAGTCTGTTGTATATGACTTTTGAGAAAAATGCACATAGAATGATTTAGCATCAGATGAAAAGAGAAAATGCACAAATTGATGCTGAATGTTTCCTAATCTTTGTTTAACTTTCTGGTTGATTTTCAGAACTGTGTGTGCTCTGAAATTTGCCGAGAGGCAATGAAGTGAAACATAGGTTTGAAATATTTTAGTGTTTGTGCATTGCAGCATAAAATGTATAAAACATTATAGTTTATTTTTAATGCACAGGTAATGTGCGTTTCATTGTCACCCTTTTTTTCCCCCAGCATTTGTTTGATATCATTGTAGTTATGTAATTTATGAATTTACGATTAATTATTTTACAGTCACTTTAAATATTTTTTCTCAAATTATGAATATAGAGCCAAAAAGGTTGTTGATGTTGTTAAGAGCGCCTTTCTTACTAGGCAGGAGTTTTATATTTGAGTCTCTGAAAAGAGTTTTCATGATTTAGACATTTATGTTATGTGATATTAAAATTTTAAATCATTATAGTTAGTTATTTATGTATGCTTTCAGGTTCAACTTTTCTCTGTTGGTGACATGGTTAGAATAATTGAAGACATGACTAAAATGAAAGAGCTTCAAAAAGGCCATGGTGAATGGATTGAAGTTATGAAAGTGGTAAGTATTTTATGTATAAATAAATAACATATATTTTTAGAAATATAGACTTATATGTTGACATGTAACTGTTTTTGTCCCGGTCAAGTTAAACTTGAAAATGGGTGTCAAAATATTATTTTGATAATATATGTAATTTATTTTTGTTTATTATTATTATTTGATTTTTTGTTGTTCTTTTGGTAATGCATATAATTTAATTTTTACCGTTCTTCATTTCTTGTCATATAAAAAATACACTATGTTTATAAATCCTTTAATGGAAGTTTCTTTAGATTAAGAGAGCAAATTTCAAAGCTTTTATCTCCTGGTTTATGATGACAAATTGATCATTTACTTAATACAGCTGCTTAAATCTTGCAATGCTCCATCTGTAGTAATAGCAAATTTCTATTTTTCTTACAATAAATGATTTCAGAAAGAATTCTAGATCTGGTCTTACTTTGTGTTAACTATCTCGAAAGAAAATAAAAATTTCAATTAATTTTTTTAAAGAGTTCTCTTTATTAGTTTATTCACAGTAGAGACAGACATTTTAAAGCTGATGATATTTCCTATTGAATCGGCAGGTCCTCTTTTCGAAGTATAATAAATATTGAGATGGTCTTTGGAGTATATAACTATTTTAGATAAATGTTTGGCATTATATACTTTTTTAAAACTATTATTTGTAAATTTTCTCCTTTGTTGTAAATGGTCATGATTGCAAGATTTGTATATATATATTTTTTATAGAAAAATTAAAATAATTGCTTTACAGCTTTGCTCGTATATTTATGGAATCCATGTTTAAAATTATTACTTATGTTATGTAGGCACTAGGGAAAACTGGAAAAATAACAAAGATCTATTCTGATGGTGATCTAAGAGTTAATGTTGATGGGCAGACATGGACATTTAATCCACTATGTGTTACATCTGTGCCAGGAACAGCTACAGAAATGAATAATACAATGACAGCCAATCAGAGGGAAGAACATACGCGTAAGTTCTCTAATTGGTATTTTTAAAAGTATTTGTTATAATTAATTTGTTGATGTTACATTGCACTTCAGGTAAAACTTTCAAGTACGATGGTTAAATTAGTTATGTCAGTGATTAAATATATAAAAATCTTAATATCTGTGTTACACTGTCCATGGAAAGGAATGAAGGTATTCCCTGATGGCCAACAAAATTATAATAACTGTCCTCACTGTGCTGATATCCAACCTTCTCCAGACCATCTCTTCGACTGTACTACTATTTTGGCCAGGCTCCTCAGTATAGATATAGCTCCCTCGCACCAACTCCTCTATTCTTCGAAGGTTATTGATGTTGCTGTGGCTGTTCTGGATACTTTCGGTCCTATTTGACTCCCATGCATTGACTCTTTGGACAAGACAACAGCAACATTTGTGTTGTTTACAACGCATCTTTACAAGCATTATTTCGAATAATAAAAAAAAATTTTCATCCCCCTTCATTCATGAACAGATATCCTAGCTATACTGCATATAGGATATTTGCTCACTCTAGTTTGTAAAAAATTATTATTAATATGTGTAAATATTTTTGATAACATGTTCTCATTAACTAAGTAAACTGTAATGTCATATATTATTTTTATAATAATAATGTAACTTAATTTTGCAGTAACTAGTAGATTTATTTCTGTGTATTAATTATATTATTTTTCTATTCACACAGGTATACACATTAACAAAAATTACGTCTTATATAATTTATAATTCTTTAATTATTTCCGCTGAAATGTTTGAAAATGAATCAAGTAAATATAATTCATTAAGCTTATGAAAATATTAAGCATGTAGCATCATTTCTTTAAACGATGTGATGGTACTTACAAGTTTTAAATAACTATCAAAAACAATAAACTTCATTCTTTGTATTTCCTTCATTCATTAAAGACATATCTCCTATACAGAAATCCCACCAACTTATATAAATTTGCAGTTACATAACAATGCAAAAACAGTGCCATTCAAAATTAAATTATTTATATAATCTTTAAATTGATTTGAAATGTAAAGCTAAATGTGTTAGTAATGAATCTTAAAAACTAATTTAGAAGAAAAACTGGGAAATAATTCATACATATAAAATCAAGTAAAAATTATTATAGCAACATCTCAAAATATAAATTGAGCTATTTCAACACTGAATATGATAGTGAAAGATAAAGCAACATCTTTCATGCTTTCAGCAAAATCATATTGTAACACTAAAGCCCCCCCCCCAAAAAAAAAAAAAAAATCAAGAAAACTCTGTGCCCGATTTCAGAGAAGGAGAAATTTTTGTGTCATTGGACTGAAGATCTAAGACAGAAGTAAATACTCCTCATTTGCGTAATTATCTAGGAAAAGGCTAGGTTTTTATTTAAAGCTTTACTCCATCGGAATGTAAAATGTTTTAAGATTACTAGCAGTCATATCCATGCTGATATACCTAACTACAAGCCTATATATGATGCTAAAAAGCATGTGATCATACATTCTATGCTCAATCTATTTGTGAGATGTCACTGTGATGAGTATAACTCAAATGATCCTAACTACCCTGAGATTTAAACATCAGGAAAGGCAGAAATTGCTAGAACACAGCATTTCTTTTTATATCACAACCATCAACCTCCAGTGCCATCTCTCCCATTACAGAACCAAATTAGATATCCCAATAGTTTTTTTAGTTGAAAAGTGTTATTCCAATTTTTTTTTCCAGTAATTTTGATACTCTTTTTTTATTTTAGATTTGAGTTAATAGTGCTGCATTAAGTTTCTTTAATAAATAAAATAACACTGTGTCAATAGAATATACTTACATAATAAATATTGCTGTTTCTTATGATTGTGCAAATAACATATATGCAGTTTACAAATTCAAGCTACATAAGGGTTTAAAGAATGTGTTATTATGTACTGCATAAGCTGGTAGCATGAGCAAAATCAGCTATGCCCTTGCTGGGATTCAGACTATGGGTCTTCTGATTACTAGCTGGACATGCTATCATAACTCACAGTGAGGAAGGCCAAAATCTTCGTATATGCTCCCCATTTAAAAGGCGACTATAGAGGGAGGAAACCCATTTGTCAAAGTCAGGTGGTGACTAATTACGTTCTAGCACATTTTACTCAGGTGCTGCAAAGTATTTTAGAAATTTTGAAGAGACAGCAAGTGTGAGAAATCTGCTATGCTCACATTAAGATTTGTGTCACGAATCTTCTAGTTACCAGTGGGATGTTAAGTGGAACCTTCTAGTTACCAGAAACCTGTTGCAACATGCAGTAGGAAAGGAGAAAATTCCTCATGTTTTGAAGGGAATGTGTTTTGCATCTGAAAATGAACCAACTCAAATTCAAGTTCTTGGGACTATCCTCTATTAAAGCCAAGTATGCAGCAGCTATGTCATGTAGCCATTAATAAAAATGTTTCTAAACTAAAGGAATTCTTTTTATGTGTACTGTAGTCATATGAACCTAGATGATGTATAGCTATATTGGGGGGGGGACTAGAAATATTTTCTTGCAAAATGATGCGTTTCCTTCATATGTCAGAATGTAAACAATGTAACAAAATTCTGAAAAGATCTCAAAATTCTGTTTGTTTCAGTCTCAAAATTTTATTCTCATAATCTATTTCAGACTGTACTTATCTGATAATAGATATATTTTAAAGAAAGCTTTTACTGTGGATGGCAAAATATTATAACCACTGGCCCGTAAAGGACTAGAAAAGTTTTTTTTTTTTTTTTAATTAAAGCTATTTCATCTGAATTTTTTTAAAGTTATCTTTTGCAGAATATGCAAAAATAGCCTAGTAAATATTTTATTTTAATATTTGTAGATCCTTTGTTGGGCCATTTATTAGTTGAACCTCATCAGTTAGAAATTGCCAGTTCAGATAGATTAGTCCGTGAAGCAGCTCAAGGTCACACAGATGTTGTCAGAGACTTATTGCAAAAATTTCCTGATAAGGTATGGATTAAAATTAATAGTGGTCTAATAGAAGTATGTAATATTTATTTATGTATGATGTCATTTTATCTTTCCTAACTCTTCTGTATCATATTTTAGAAAGCTTTATTTTCTGTTTTGAAACATTTTTAAATGTGTTATTTAGCTATAATTTCTCAGGAAACTATTATTTAATAAAAGTGTTGTTCATTTGCAATAAGCTGAATTATAAATATTTTGTGTATGCATAAAATAATAAATTAGAAAAAAGTGTATTTGTTATGAGTTTTAATTTGTATTATTATTAGTTTTTATCATTCTCACAAACATAATCATAAGTTTAATTTCTAAGATATGGTTTTATTGATGAGATAAATTGGCTGAAAATAATGAGATAGCATTTGACTATTACGCAAAATATTAATTGAGTTGAAAATACTTTTAAATTTTAGATCTAAAACGAATGGTTGATCTTGCAAAACTAGTTGTTTGCATAATGTTTTCTATTGTACACAGAGTAAATACAAGCCAGTATAAGCCATTAAAAAATACAAAACATTAAAAACTAAATTTATGGAAAAATTATCTTCTTTAAAAATTATTTCAGGAAATTTTTATGCTGATAAAAAAGAAAAAAATCTTGTCATTTTTATTATCTTTGTAAACAAATTTTTTTTTGAAGAATGTGATTATTTCATGCTGCTAATTAAAATAATTTAAAGCATTTGGTTCTAAACCAGTTATGCTGTAAAATATGAAGATTAATGTGTTATTGAAATATTTATTTCATTAGCAAAACTTAAAAATGTAAGGGAAAACAATATTATTTCTCAGTTTATGAAAAATTCTTAGAGATTTAATATTTTAGCATTGTGAGGGATAATTTTTATTAGTTTTTGTTATTATATAAATTAAGCAACTGCATGCAGCTCATGATGAATCTTTATTTTTTATTCAAGTTTTGGGCAGAATATTCTGCAAATAGCAGTACTTTATCTGTTACTTAGTATTTTTGCAGCCATATCAATTCAGAATGTGCCAAACTTTGACAAACATGCATGCAAGTAACTATTTTTGTGGTAATCATGTTCAACAGTAACAGTTCTTCAATGAAGCAACTTTGCCATTTTCATGTGTGTTCTTTTTGTTTCCAAGTTCCAGTCATTTTTATAAACAACAACAACAACAAAACAACAACAACAACAACAACAAAACAAAACAACAACAACAACCCAAAAAAAAAAAAGATTTTCCCCTTTTAAATTCACTTTTAAAATATATGGTTTCAGAACTAAAATTTCTGCAGGAGTATATTGTTTTGCTGCAGTCACTACAGAAAATAATACTGAGATGCATTGGTAGACAGCCAGTGCATAAATTGTGTACAATGCTGAATTTATGCAATTCTCCGATTTTTTTTAAAAAAAAGATACTCTGTACAGGGAGAGAACAATTGGAAAAGATTACAGAAGAAATTGGGGGGATGTAAGTATTTTTAAAGGATTTAATAATTCAAATTTGTATTTTCAAGTGCTAAATTTGTGTTTTAAATTGCTTTGTGTATTCTTTTGATATGCTGCATATTGTTTGCCAGCTTATTTAAAAAAAAAAAAAAAAAAGTTTGTAACTCATTTTTTAAAATGTTGAAAAAATTGCCAGATTGTGCCAAGATGGTTGTGTTAATACGTTAAGTACCCTTTATCTAATTACATATTAATTCAAAATAAATAAGATGTTACATTTTTTTTCGGTTTCAGGTTGACCAAAAAAGCTCAGGAAAAACAGCTTTGCAAGTTGCCAGTCATCAAGGCCATTTAGAGATTGTTCGATTGTTATTAGCTGCTGGCAGTAGTCTTGAAGTCCAAGATGATGATGGTGACACAGCTCTACATTATTCAGCTTTTGGGTCAGTTTTTTAATTTCAGTTTAATATTTTTTTTCTTTTCTTACTTTTATAATTTCATATCAAGTGTGTTGCCTAATTTTTTAAAAATATTACTTCCAAGTAAAACTGAATTTCATTTTCCCCTTGAATGATATTTGAGCGTTCTTCCTCACTCCCTAGTTTTGAGACATTTTTAAGAACTATTTTATATGCAAACTATTTTCATAGCATGTTTTTCCTTCCTTGTACGAAGTAAAAAGGAAGTTTTGTAATCGCGAATAGTTTCAGGCAGCATATTTCAACGAAAATATCCATTTCGACCGCTATCGAATGCAATTTAACGATGTCTTTGCGTAATATCTGTACGTAAGGACAGAATAAAATACTCTTTTTATTCAAAAAAATTATAAAACTGCTTTAAAATTAATTCTGAAGAGAATTTTTCGTGGCGTCTGTACGAACGTATGTACGTACGTACGTATCTCGCATAACTCAAAAACGAGTAGCCTCAGAACGTTGAAATTTTGTATATAGGACTGCTATAACATGTAGATGTGCACCTCGTATTTTGGTTGCAATCGGCCGCACAAACGTATATAAATATATTTATATATATATCCACTCTGTTACCTGGCTCAGTGATCTCAGTTTCTTTACTCTTATATGTTGGTTAATTGTACATTTTTTGCTTTAAAAATGATTGAATTATGTTCTTCTTATCTTCCGGTTAAGGTTTTTATGCCTTTAGTAAATCCGTATGCAATATTTTTAGAATTATAATTAAAACTATTATTTTTAGAAATCTGTGTGTAATATTTAGAATGCAATATTTTTAGAGAAACAACAATTTTAAAGTTGTTTAAGTGCCGCTAAGCCTAATAATTTTTTTGATAGCGGCCATTGCTTGTTTACATTTGAAACCGCAGGATAGTGGATTTGTTGCCAATCTAGAGAAACTTGCCTTCGCAACAACAAAGATAACGCCTTCATTTATTATTTAAATCATGCTTAATCCGTTCTGTAATTTTTTCGAGGAAATAAGCATTTAAGAATTACTTCGTAATTTTTAATATAGATATTTTGAGTTCTTATATATTTTTGCCTTATCGCGAAATGAGAACTGAATTAATTAAATGAGAAATACTCGATTGTCTGTGAAAAACTGTTTCTTTTTTGTTTTGTTTGCTTAATTTCTTTTATACATCATTCTAGCTTTATTATAGTATTTGAATAGAACATGTGGCAACAATTAGATAATTCTATTCTTTAAATGATATAAATTTTGTGCATTCTGAGTTATAATATGAATGAAATATAATACTGTTAAGTGAACCTAGCGCCAGAGTGTCGCTATGGTAAACAAAGTGAATTTTAAAGAATGCATTTATTCTATTGTGGTTTATGCGCTGTCGGCAAAGTAGATTTAATTCAATCCAATAAGTTTAAATGAAATGCAAGAAAAAATGCGTATAATTTAATATTCCAATACAAGGAAGTCATGTGGTGTACACATCATATTTTTTAAAATTATTAGACCTAAATCAAAAGCAAGGGCAAATTAAAAAATGGGGGGGGGCAACAATTGGTAGTATAGACAGCTATTTTGTAAACAATTTGTTGAGTAGCTGTAGTGTATTTTATAGCATTTATTATCTTGTTTTCTTTCCCATGGCAATTAGCAGTCTGGCTATTAAAACAACTACCCTCAGCTGTGAAGTCACTTTGTGAAGTAGTGTCTCAATACAAAAGGTCTTAATGATGCTGGCACTTGCCATGTATAGTCTTGCATTTATGAATTTAACATAGTAAGTGAAGAAATGTGTAGCAGCAGTGTTGTGAGTTTAGAGAAGGTTGTTCAGATGTCTATGAGAGAAGAAAGGTTTAGTGTTCAGAGAAAGAAATTTGACAAGGAAATTCCTTTTTCATGACTAGTATTTCTTTCAATGGAAAGCATGCTTGGTTCATAGATTATTGTTTACAGAATTTTAATTGAAAATGAAATTTATTATTTACTATCCGTAAAATGTGTTAAAAATGTTGATTGATATGTATAGTAGTTAAAAAATGGCATCTGCTCATGCATTATTATTATTATTATTTTCTTGTTGTTGTTGGAGAGAAGGGGATGAATGCTCTTTATAGGTGATGATCTGTGGATTTCTTGCATGATTTTTTAGACAAAATAACAATTCTGTACCATTCAGAGCCATTGACTCGGAATGGCGATATCAGAAGTTGCCTTCATGAAAATACAATGCTCACATACTGCCACTCTTAATGTTCAAAAGATTCACTAGAGTCAAATTTATGAAGCCTGTACAGTAAGGTGGGCTGAAAAAACACATTTTAAAAAAATTTTCAATTGCTATACCTTGAAAAAGGTGCCTATCGCGTAGCAATATAAAGTGAAAAAAAAAATTCATTTAAAAAATATATATTGCTCTTCCATATAGCACTTAGTTTTTAAAATTATGAATTTTTCTGCTTTTCATCAATTTTTTATGATTATTAAAGTTGTTACTATCAAAATGCAGCTGTTCCTAATGGAAAATTTTGGGCATGATGAACAGGAAAGAAGTTTAAAGCTTGTTTTTTCAAATTAATTATTGTTTGTGGGGGAGGGGAAAAGCTCCTCTTTCTCTTTTTTCCCCCTCTCCCCCCTAAAAACAGCAATATTTTATAATTTCTGATAATTTTACTTTTTAGTTTAGTAAACAAATGGTGAATATATTCCATCTTTTTTTTAGTTTAGTAAACAAATTGTGAATATATTCCATCTCTTTTTTTATATTTTGTTATTCAAAATAGCACCCCTTAAAATTAGTTTTTTAGGAAAATTCTGGCATACTACATTTTGATAAGAGGATCATCCTCATCAGGTTGTTTCTTGTATCAGTGCGACACACCTTTTTAAATGCTTCACTCCCAAGTTTGGCGAACCATTCTGCAGCCTGGGTGAAACAAGGGAAGCTGTGGAAACCAATTGTAGCGATGTGCCAGACTTTAATAGATTTTTAATACTTTTATTCTTAATGTTCCTTAATAGTAGGATAGGTATTGCAACTATCCCACCAAATCAAGTTGATGTAATATGTTGCTTGAAAGTTGAATTTTGATATGCTGAAGTTTCAGATACTCTTTTCTTTGCAAAGTGATCGAATTTTCAACAATCGGTGATAAATTTTGAGTCGGGTGCGATATTCTGATGGCTTCAAAAACTATATTTGGACTGTATGTGAAATTTTTGCTGATTTTGATTTTAGACCATAGAGGCATGTAAAATAAGATATATCAAATGCCTAAATTCATCAGTAGGTTCTTCTAAGCTCATGTATAATCTGAGAAGTGAGTTTGCTATGGTCAACCATTTTGAGTGGAAAAAGTGGACCAAGATGTTAAGCTGCTAAATCTTCTAAAATTGGATCTGAACTTTATGGCAGCAGAAATATCAAGCAAGTATAATTGATCCTTGTTCAGCACTGCTCTGTCAACTTGAGGAATAGAGCTCTTAACACAATCAAAGTGAACCAGTGGAAGTGTGTCACTGTCAGTAAGTTTTGTTCCGCCATTGAAGGATTTGGTCCCTGTGGTAACACATCAAGGTGATGAAATAGGTGATAGAACTGCAGTTTATTGAAATGTGGGAGCCATATAGCCCACTGCAATAGTCTTCCAGTATGCAATTTGATTTGGGAGATAACATCATTTTTCAAACCTGAGACACGAAATGCAGACCAAGGTCGAATTACTTGTGAAGTCACTGTTAAAAATATATAAACAAAATATATATTATAGTCACTGTTTAAAAAGGTTCATAGCAAAAAGTGTGTGTTTATATATATGTGGGTTCTTTAGTTTCGAAATCAATTCATATTCAAACAAAACACATTTAATAAAACATTAATACATCTATAATATAGTTCATCTATTACTACAAAATCTATACCATCGTTTATCTATTACCACGATATCTATAACATCTTATATCTATTAACATGACAACTTAACGTCTTACATCTCTTAATACCACATCTATATCATCTTGCATCTCCTCTCATAAAACAAGTGGCGAGAATTCTATCAATTTCACTCGTGCAGTCAACAGCTAAAATTTGGAAAGCGCGTGAGGAAAAATATTAAGCTATGGATTTAAAATCCCACATATATATATATATAGTTTTTCATATGAACAATAAATAGTTTGAAATTACAAGTTTTATTTTATTTTGGGTATATATATATTTCTCCTATCCCAAATTTCACATTATGACGTATTACATTTCAACAGTAGTGTGTTTAGCAACTATCAAAAATTGACAGAAAGCATAAAAATTTCATCATTTTTCAAAACTCTGAGGGAAAGATGCAAACAATTTTATTTGAAATTTTGTTTTCTCCACCTCCCATTTTATTTAACTAAGAGACAGATAACTTTTCTGAGGTATAGCGATAGAAAAAATAAAATTACCCCCCCCCCAAACCCTACTGTACAGCCTTGACTTTGTACCTGGTTACTCTTTTGTTTTTCTTAAAGGAATGGCTTGCTTGTCCATAATTCGAGGGATGATAAGTTGATATTGCCATATTGCTGTTCCAAACTCAGAAAGTGAGGTTTTGTACTCATGGCATTTAAAAGCTTGTTCCAGGCTTCAAAATCTGCTTATAAAAAATGGTGACACCATAGAAGAATGAAGTAAAGAAGTCTAAGTTTTTGAATAGTAATTGAAATTAATTTCAGTGCTTTGAAATATGTATCATATGAAAATATTTTATAAATTAATGACATATTAACTTTATCCATTCTTCATTTTATCAGACTGGGTCATTAGAAATACAGTTAATGAAATTAGGTTGATTTATAGTAATCTGAATAATAACTTATAGCTTTTTTAATTTTGATTATTTTCAGCTGTAATTAAGCTTTGTAAAGAAATTAAATATTATTTATTACACAATCCCTTCATAATAATTTTTAGTTAATTTTAATTGCTTTTTTTCTTTATTTAATAAAATAATTCGCGGCTATGTCTGGTGAAAGAACAGTATTTTATGCATGAGAAGTGCATAAGAGTTCTGTGTGTTTATGCGGCCTGAAAAGTACATTTTAAATTATGTTTATTTTCATCCCATACATAATAAGTGTTTTACTAAGAACCTGGTACTTAATTTTAATAGCTGTTACTTAGAATACTTCTTAATTAAACAAAAATACAAGCTGATATTTTGCCTTAGAATGCTGAAAAATTTCTTTCATTTCTGTGTGTCAGTGCATTAAAACAGCTTGAATTTTATTTAAGCTGTGTGCCTTTATTTGAGTATTTATTTCTTAAAATTAGAGAAGCATATTTTTCTCATATGTTATTAAAATTCATAGGTATTTATATCTTGTCCAAATCATTACATATTATAACAGTCATATTTTGAGATGAGATTTTGTACTTTCTTTTGTGAATCTTTTTATAATTTTTCGCAAATTATTTTTCGCAAATTTTGAAATTATATATTTTACAGCAACCAGCCTGTTGTTATGGATTTGCTTTTAAAGAAAGGTTCTGATATAGATACTGTGAATAAAGCTCGATGTAGTCCTTTACATGTTGCAGTCAATAAGCAGCATCTTGATTGCGTAAAAGTTTTGCTTAAGCATCATTGTAATGTAAATATTCAGGTATGTTTAATATCACAGTATTTTTTGGTTGAAGTTTTCCCCCATACATTATTTTAAAAAGTAAATATTATACTGGCTTCTTTTCTGAATTTTTATTTTTATTTATGCTATATGTTTTTATGAAGAAATTTATTTTATCTGTTTTTAAATTCCGTATACTCAAGTTCAAGTCAAACTTAAAGTCTCATTAACTTGAATATTAGTTTCAAGTAATTAAACATTCAAGTTAATGAGACTTTAAGTAAATTGCATTAAAAAAGCATGTAGGATTCTGTTTCGATATGGTATGTTTATTATTAAATAAGTGAGACTGAAATTATATTGCATATTAACGACTAAATTTTTTTTTATGTATAAGAAGTGCTGAAATATAAATAAAACTGTAAACCATAGAATTAGCAAAACAACAACCTTGTGTTTGGTGTAGATTTCAGTCAAGACTCTCGATTCGGAGGGCAGATAGGTACAGGTACATCTTCATGAGAAGCAAGGAAATCAACAAAGGGAAAGCCATGGTTATATTTGTACTCAAAAGAAGTAAAGAGAGCAAGAAGGTAGCACCATCTGTTAGCAGAACTAGTAGCAAAAAAATGAAGAAATTAAATTAATAGAATTTTAAAAGCGCTAGGTAGGATTGGACTGGAATTAAAGTCTATAACTAAGCAAGGTAAATCTTTGTGATTGTGAAAAGCTTAATCCATTTCACCAATGGAAGAAGCTTTCTATGTAATTTTGCAGACCCGAAGTGAAAATTATGATTAAAAATATGATTAGCAATCAAAGACGTGATAATTTCACCTTTCTGGACATAAGATTTATTTCCTTAATGCGAAACTTTAATTCTCTTTTAATTTGGACAATGTATCTCAAACCACACTGACAAGATGTGATGTAAATTTTTCAAGAATTAAAGTAGGAAATGAAATCCCTAAGAATCGAACCATAGATTTTATTGATAAGTAAGAAATGACTTGAAAATTGAACTTCTGGAGAAGCAATTTTTTAATTGACAGAAGAATGAAATGGGAGCACGATAAGGTTATTAATGTTATTTCTAACAGTGGCATGTCTTCTTTCATTGCAAAATGAAAATTTTCTAAAGGCTTTATCAATGTCACATGAGAAGATCCTCGGTCATTGTCAACTGATCCCAAATAATTGAATTCATTGCAAAAGCAAAAAGAAATGTTGCCTATTTTCCCTCAAAATGAATAGAGTCTTGACTAAAATCTACACCTTGCACAAGGTTGTTGCTTTGCTGATTTTATGTTTTACTTGGCATGTTTCTATTCTGGCTTTAAAACTATGAAATCCAATTTTTAAGTCATGTATCCTGAACTTACCCCATGATTTGCACTAATGACAGCCAAATAGTATTATTAAAACTTCCTCCCTTTTTTTTTTGTTAAAATTTGTTACTAATATGTGTATATATAATTTTCCTACATTTTCTTATTTTTTTCACTGGGATTTATCATTTTTGTAGAATAATTAATTAAATTTTGTGAACTCAGTTATTTAGTGAATTTATATTTTCATTATCGTATATATGTATATGTTATGGTGAAACACCGAAATCTGGAGAATGTCAACTTTCACTGGTGATTGTCAACATTCACATAGTCGCTTGGTGTATGTCCGAAATATTTTCCAAATAGTCTTATTTCTGACTTACACTGGTAAATGTTGACATTCACCATGTACTAATGGTGAATGTTGAACATGTAAGAATATTATATTTTCTTCTCCGTAATTCAGTCGCGAAAAAACGCACTTGAAACTTAAAATAAGAACTTAAAACACACTGTACATTCAAAATGAGAAAGGAAAATAATAGAAGTTAAAAACTTACTAAATTATGTGATTCAAATCTTATTTATTGTAGCAACTGTTATGACACTTTGAATTGCACAAGAGGCCCTTGCTTTTACAACTACATTTATTTGTGGAGCACTTCCTTTTGCAATGACAGCACGTACATCTACTCCTCTCTTTTTTGACCTACACCAGAGCATATCTGTAATTGTCGACATGCACCGGTGAGGGTCTGATAGTACAAGAATGTAATGCAATATTCGATCTTTCACCAACGTATTTGGTGAATGTTGACATTCTTCAGTGAAAGTTGACATTCTTGCATTTCGGTCTTTCACAGTAACATATATATTATGTCTCGTTGCTTTTCTATACACATCACAGCAGAATTGATGACAGTTAAAGCCTGTCATCAATTCATGATCAGCCATTGCTATGATCTGCCCCTTATCACAGCTTTTGTAACATTAATTATTAATCAGTAGTCCAGGTATTTATTTTTTTGCTTGCAGTTTTATAAATACACTGATCATCAAATTACAAGGATAATGGCAGAAAGAAAATATAACTGATACTCGATGAAAAATTAATTATAGAAATTTGTATGAAAGCATCAGTTAACATCAATTAGATATACTCCTCTTTGGCAGTTGATTATTCGCAACAACACCCCTAAACAGCCCATCTTGGGGTTTCGATGTCTTGTCCACATATTTCTGAGTGGTTACAGAACCTTCTTGAATGATACACAACTCAGTGATGCCATTTGTCGTGATTCCTTCCGAAACCATTAAACTGTGGTCATGGAAATGGTATATTTCATGGACAAGGGAAGGCAAGTTGCATGTTCCTTTCTCTCTCTCTCTCTAGATCAAAACGCATCTAAAATCACTGTTCAGACTGTTTCTAGACTTGTTAGCAAACAATACTCAGGCCCATTCGTCTTGGCTGCATTGAACATGACGACAGCACCAGTTTAAACAGCCTCTCAGGTAACTGGAGTGAGTGGGACACAAACCATTGGTTTTCACACGTACAGTCCAATCTCATAAAGCCTTTGTGCAGCAGTAGAACGAGCAATTCGTGTTCCTGTGGCAGTTTGAAGGTCTAAAACCAAATCTCTTGTACTCATTTTGCAGTTAACTTGATAACAACAGAAAACGGTCTTCTGATGCATTTGTTGCTCTTGCTCGCCCTTGACCAGGCTGTCTCTCAACTGATCCAATGCTTAAAAAGCAACTCCAAACTCTTGATATGACACTTAATATTCAAATTTTGGGTGACCTCCGTTTGTGTTTGACCTCCCTTGATTCTGCCAATTAATCACCACTTTTAACCTTCACTTAAATGATGCCTTTGAGCCATAAGTACTGAATACTGATCACTCTCGGAAACCACATTCACTTTAAACAACACTGCAGACCAGAATTCCAACATGCATCCATTGCGCATCATATTATCAATCACCGAATTTGCATATTTCCTGCGCTAACATATGCACGGAAGTGCAGTTTTATGTTCAACTGTAATTAATTAACATAAATAATTGCAGAATTGGGCATTGGTTGCAACATTATTTTAGTGAGCACACCACCGATAGGGATTTTAACATATAAGCCAGAAAAGCTTTCATTTTAGGTGTTAAAATATAGGGCATTAATGTGTAAGAAAAAGGAGAGGAAAGTGGTGAAATATCACATGGGGAGAAAGTGGTCAAATATTATGTGAAAAAGGAAAAAAAAAAAAAAAAAAAAAGGCTTTTAATGGTTTTAGCAGTTGTAAATAGTAAATCAAGAATTCAGGTAGTATAAAGTATACAGTTAATTTTCCTCTTTTAAAGGCAAGGGAGAAAGGTTAAAAATCAACAAAAGCAAGTTTATTAATAATTGCAATGAAAGTCTGCAGCCTATTTGACAGTAAAGTTACTTCAGAAAGAAACAAGGAGATAAATTTAGTGAACATATGTTTAATGCTAGTAAGGCTGGTTTTATCGATTCAGGAGCTAGTTTTTTAATTTCTATGATGTAAAAGGGAATGGAGAAGCTTATGAAAAACTTGTATGATGTAAAAGGGAATGGAGAAGCTTATGAAAAACTTGTATATGTAAAAGGGAATGGAGAAGCTTGTATATGTAAAAGGGAATGGAGAAGCTTATGAAAAACTTGTGTGATGTAAAAGGGAATGGAAAGGCGTATGAAAATTTTAAGAAATATCTAAAAGTGTGGGAAAAAAAGAAAGACTTTATGCCACAATGGATCTTTAATATAGTTGAAACTGGGCTTTCTCTGGAAAAAATGGCAAAATGATTACATTCTCAAAGAAGCTGCATTCGTTCCTGGTTTTAAGGCATTAAAGATAAGATTATACTTCTAGGAAGATATGCTGCTAGTTTTAAATAAAAACCATGATTTATTCACCTTTCAGAAAACCCTAGAATCTTGAAAAGCATTGACAAGAATATGTTACTAGTTTACTACAGGAATAATCCTAAGTCTTGAAGGATAATTATTGTCTTACTCAATGATTAGTTCTTAATTGTTTTATTAAAAAGGGTATATATGTACTCTCATGAAAAGAATACTCATTCCAAAATTCTCTTGCTGCTTGATATTGCTCCAGGATATCCTCTTCCTGTCACAGTTTTAAGAAAACTATAAATGTGATGTATGTACCATTTAATACATATCAATCAATGGATGCATTGAATTGATGGAATCAATAGATTCTATCATGGATTCAATAATTCAGTAGATTTAATCATTGGAATCAATGATTAATATTTAGATTGTGATTCAGTCAATGGATTGAGTTTAATTGCTACATTCAAAACATATCAAACAAACTAAGAAATCTCAAGCAATAACAGTAGTGGATAAAAGGACATTTTATGATTCTTGGGAAAATTATATATTCACTAGTATATCCTGAACATTGGACATTGGAATTTCGCAGAAAGAAGTAATAGAACAATGTGTGTGATGAATTTGAAGATGTTACTGGCACAAGAGATACTTGAGTACAATGAGCTGTATGTTGTAACAAATTAGTAAAAAGCTATGTCTCAAAGTCAATATTGCCAGTGTTGAAGAATTAGTAAATCATGAAGAAGTTAAATCACTTGCTTAAGACTTAATTCATTTTTAAAACACAAGAATTGTAGAAGAAGGGGGGATGAAGAAAAGAAAGAAAAATCATGAAACATGTTTTTCATAAAAGGATTGGCTGAAATATTTCATGAATAAAATCAATGACTGAAAAATATGAATCATGTTAGTGATAATTTCACTGAAGTTGACAAGTAGATTTGAGAAGTGGTCAAATGTTATCACAAAATGCATAGAGAAGGAATTTATTTTCATTTAAAAAAAGAGAGAGAGAGATTTCATTGCTGTATATTATGCTGTTCTAAAAGGAAATAATTTGTATTTAAAGCAAATGCACAATTTCCTTAAATAGATGTAATTAAAAAAAAAAAAAAAAAAAAAAAAAAAAAAAAAAAAACTTTGTTAATTTTTGCAAAGTATATGTCTGCATAGTAATAAATAAAAATTTATAAAGGAATGTATCACTATATGTAATCACTTTAAATTTATTATAAATCTAATTTGTGACAATATTTTAACAGAAGTTTGACAAATCCAGGAGAGGAAAATAACATTGACTTAAGACATTTGACTGCCAACACGAGATAACTCGTATTAGCGCTCTTCTTCAGAATGCCCAATACGAGTTATCTCGTAATTTCTTGACTTCCCACTTTTTCACTGTTATGAGTAACTTATTTGCTTAGCGCTTGTTTTAGCTGTACCGAGGTAACAAGTTGAAGCATGTCTGTACGAATCAACTCATAGTAGGCTTTTGCAAAGAGCTTTGTCTAACAAAAGCCGGCTATGATATAATTTGTAGGTAATTAGTATTTTAAATAATATAATTAAATCGATTTGGCTTTTCGAACCGGAATCTGAAAAAGTGCCGTGACAGTCAACGTGTTAATATCATTCAGAATATATCTACAATGAGTGGGCCAGAATCCAATCATAAATCAAGGACTATTTGTATTTATAGGATGATGATTTATGATTGGACTATCTAATCATAAATTGAGGACTATCTGTATATTTGGATTAGAAATTATTGCAATTCAAATCATTAGAAGTTCTACTGCGTATATTTTAAAACTGAAAACATTTAAACATTTTATTTGATTTAAAATTGTCTTTTCTTTTTTTCCCCTTTACTTTTAAAACTTGTATTGAATGTGAAAAATGACCTTGTTATTTATAATTTAAAGGATTCCTATGGTGATACTGCTTTACATGATGCAATTAGCAAGGAAAATTTGGAAATCCTTGATCTTCTAATAAACATTCCAGAGATTGACTTCACCTTAAAGAACAAAAGAGGTTTCAATGTTCTACATCATGCTGCTCTGAAAGGAAATAATTTGTATGTATAAAATTTTTGATGATTGCAATTCCTATTAGATTTTAATGTGCAAGTGAAATTTGGGAAATATTTTCTTGAATATTGATTCTACCTTATTCCAAGAAACTTCTAGTTTGAAAAGTTTCTCTATTTAAGGTAGAGAATTGCATAAAAAATTCTCTCAACGCTGTAGTTGTAAATAACAAAGTCTTAACTTTTTATTAATTATATTTCATGCAAGATGATCTGTATCCTTAAATTAAAAAATTTGCAGTGATGGGTGTACTTAGTATTTGCATGTTGCCATTTCTGAAGTGTTCTTTTACCTAGTTTGTAAAGCCTAATTGTGAAAATAAACTTTTGTGGTTACTTCTTGAGTTTGATCAGAAGATTATTGAACGTCAGTTTTTAATACACATAAAAAGTGAGCTAAATTCTTAAATTTGATCTTAGATATAAGTATGCTAAATGTGTTCAGAATTCTTATGAACTGATTGGATCATAATTCTTACAAAAAAAATCAAAATATTGTTCTGACAAATTTTTAATTGTCTTCTAGAGTAAAGCTTTTATTTGTAGGCTTTTAGGACAATTAAATTGTGATGAATAGTAAAAAAAAAAGTGGTCTAAGTCTGTGAATTTGATCTCAAATGTATATCCATAAATTGTGGCCTAATCCATATGAATAGATCAGATGATGGAATTATTCAAATATATTGAATTTACTAAAATTGAACTTTTTTAATGAGTTGTGGGTTATAAATATTTTACTTATTGGAAATTCTGTTGTTGTAGATAAAATGAAAAGTTGGAATTCTTATTTACAGAAAGCTTTCACTCTCAATTTTAAAGCTGTCTTAAAGTCTTTAAAGCTGACATAAAAGTCTCTATTTTACAGAGCTTGTTTACACATTTTTTGAAGATGCAGCTATGCAGTTAAATAAAACAAAAATATTTTCAAATACAATTCAATATATATTTAGCTGTCAACTCTTCCACTTTTCATCACATCTTCTGGTCTATTGATAGATCTCTGAATGTCCTGCATTTTAATATTTAGCATTTTCTAAAGAAAACTATGTAGAAAAATGTTTTCCTGCTTTAAATGAAATTTATTCAAAAATTCCAGGAAACTCTCGGTTTTTCATATTTCAAGCTTGGCAGTGTTCAGTTTCGTAGCCCTTTTTCTTAGCTATCCAGCTGTATCATGATTTCTATGAAAAGAAGGCATTTTAAAATTTTACCATGAGAATTATTTTATACAGCTCTTGTTCTGCTTACCATAATCTATCAACTGTGTTTTGTTTAGGTGTAGAAAGCACTCAGTTTAACAGTATGACAACAAAATCATCCCATCAATGCCACAATAGGAAGCCTTTTCTAGCATACTTGAGTAGTTTATACTGATACGTCTTTCAATTCTTTTATACAGATTTATTTGTAGATGTTGATGATGACATGGCTTTATTATTGATGTAGTCAAGTTCCTTTTACATTGTGTTCATAAACAAGTGGGATTAATTTTTTTTGAACTTTAAGATTTCCTTTGTTTGGAAACCAGATAGTCACAAAATCTTTCAATGGAATTTTCTTTAGACTCTTGAAACCAAACTAGCCCTTGATGAAGAACTAAATTATTTAAAAGCAATAGCTATTGACAGGGGCTTTTCACCCAACATGAGTTCAAGCAATTAAAAAATTCTCTTCAAGCAGTTAAATCAGTCAAGCAGTTCTCAATCAATCAAGCAGTTAAAAAATTCTCATCTCAACACACTAAAAGGCACACTCTTGTTTTAGGAGATTATAAAAATTCTGTTGTCATTCCCTTCTTTCAATCAATTAGCTATAAAGTTGCACATATTTTGCAGAAATTTAACTTTCGGGTTGTTTATTCTCCCATCAATAAAATTCCGAATTCTATACTCAAGGACTCCATTCCAGATATGAATTCTTGGGGTATTTATAGGATTCCTTGCCAGTGTGGTTTAATTTACATTGGCCAAAATAAGAGAGCCTTAAAATTTCACGTCAAGGAACATGAGGCATATGTTAGAAAAAAGGAAACACAGAAGTCTTCTGTTGCTCAACATTGTTGGTCTGAAAATCACACTTTCAATTTTTCTGCTGCCAAAATTATTCAAAAAACATCTTCCATTGGGGAACTGGATTTTCTAGAGGCATTTCACATTCAAAAAAAAAAAAAAAAAAAAAAAAAAAAAAAAAAAAAAATTCTGTTCTAGTTAACGATTCTAATTCCAATCCATCTTTGCCTTCGGCCTTTAAAGAAATTATGTTTTAGTTCTGGTTTCACTAACAGATGGCGCCACTTGCTTATTCTTTCCCAGGCTTTCTTATCTTATCTAATCACTATTTCCTATCTTGTTCATTTGCAGTTTTGCAGCTGAGAATGGTGGTTCGGTAAAACCGTTGAAACTAGTCCTGTGAAAAAAATTTTGAAAATATAATGCTGATTTTTGTTGTTTGACTTCTGAATTAGTATTTATTCGGCGTGTTATTGTGTCTTAATTATGAAGTAAATATTAAAAACTTATTTCCTCGAATAAATTCCAGAATAGATTAAGCATGATTTAATTGGCAATAATAAAAAAAGGCGTTATCTTTGTTATTGCGAAGCTTACTTTCTGTAGATTGGCAACAAATCTGCTATTCTGCTGTTTCAAATGTAAACAAGCAATGGCCGCCATGGCAAAAATAATTAGGATTAGTGGCACTTAAACAACTTTTAAATTGTTGATAATTCTAAAAATATTGCATACAGATTCACTAAAGGCATAAAATCCTTAACCGGAAGATATACGTATGTATGCACGGACGCCACGAAAAATTCTCTTTAGAATTCATTTTAAATTAGTTTCACAATTTTTTGGAAGGGAAAAGAGTCCTTTATTCTGTTCTTACATATAGATGTCATGCAAAAACGCCGTTAAATTGGATTCGATAGCAGTAAAAATGGATATTTGCGTTGAAATATAATGCCTGAAACCTTTCGCAATTACAATGCTTCCTTTTTACTTCGTACAAGGAGGTAAAAAGGAAAACAAAATTAAATAATTTGTTGTTATTATTAGATGTAGCTATTTATAACACTTTCCAGTTATGGGGAATGAATGGAAATATGTAATCTGTATGTTATTTCTCATTTAACTACTTAACATAATGAGTAATGTGTGTTAAAAATAATTCAGTTTAAAGCCAATAATATATTCTACTAATATTCTAAAAATATATCTAGCTCACTTTTCAAACAGCGTCTTTACTTTACTAATTGAAAGGAGTATGATGTGTACTATAAAAGGGATAACTGCTGTCTCTAGTAATTTTGAAAGTACTAAAAACTCATTTTTTTAATTTTTCATTATGTTTTTACTTTAAAGAGTACTTCCTTTAGATTAATGATGCTTTTAATTTAAAGAGTCAGTTTGATTTAAAAAAAAGTATTTACTTAATGTAAAGATGATTATAAATGCTAATTTTCACTTTTTGCAGTGCAACAGAAAGGTTAATAAGCAAGTCAAGACAAATTGTTGATGGCAAAAAAGATGATGGTTTTGCTGCACTTCACCTTGCTGCCTTGAATGGACATTTCCATGTTGCTGAGACATTACTTATGCAAGTGAGTTGTCATATAGTTAGCCATGTTGCTTATTTATTAAGATTTTTCTTTTTATGATATAAAAAAAAATATTATTTTTGTACCTTTATTTTTGCACGTTTTGGATCTGCTTACAAAGAACTGTATTTAAACAGCATTTATTATCTAAATTTGCATAATTCTATCTTTTAGCCTAATTTTTCATAAACTTGCATTCATTGAGATAATATTTAGATCATTAAAATAAACAAAAAAAGCAAAATATTTTAAATTATAATCTGGTATATACTAAATGACAATAAATCTCATGACCAGATGAAGGCAGTCATGGGGATTAATATAGTGTGAGATCATCTCAAACTGAATGCTGATAATGCAGTGCCATCCCTTAAAATTAATTAGACAGTAAATTAAAGCCTATGGGAGTTATTTTACTATTTAATTAATTCTTGTAATAGGACAGTATGAGCTTCTATAGGCTCCAAGGGAGAACTGGAATGCTGCAACAACTTGGAATATTGAAATACACAACACTATTGTTAACCATGAGTTACTTTTTGTTTGTTTGCCTCCTTATGCTAAATCATGTTACCTTGCTTAAACAAAAAAAGGGCTTCTTTTTACACTTATGTATATCATGTTCTCAAAATTTGTTCTTTGTTCTCGTTATATTTGTAAATTTCATAGGGTTTTGATGATTTAACTACAGAACCATCAAAACTAGTCCTGCAAAATATACAAATATAATGCTGATACTTGTTTGACTTCTCCGGTGATCATTGTTTGGAATGCTATTTTAACCTAAATTATGTGAGTGTTGTTGTTTGTAATAAAGCAAATAAAAATATACTCTTGCATAGCAGTGCCAATATGTCATTATCTGTATGACAACTGCATTCTTCAAGTTTAAAACTAATATTCATAAGATTCTGACCATCTTTGTTAAAGTGTGTTTTGTCAAATAGTGACCAATTTGCATACAAGTGCAGTACCATTTTTGAAGGTATCCAATGAAAGAACTGCAAAGTAAATTAGGGTCATTGTTTGGTCGCTGATTTGTGATTAGAATCTGATTGTGCAAGAATATGGAATGTTTAATTATTAAATGCTTTTTAATTAAAAAAATATTATCTCCAGTAAGCAAAGATTAAAAGAAATGATATTTGTGAGTGTGAAAATAATACGATGAGCAATCTTTATTAGAAAAATAAGATTTATACATTGAATGTAAAATTTATGCATTAATTTTATACTGTTTCTTTTTTAACATAATTTGTGTATAAAACTAGATATTTAAGATTTTAAATGCTGTGTTAATAATAAAATGCATAAATAAAAAAAAAAAAAAAAAAAAAAAAAAAAAAACTTTTTCTCCGATTTTTAGGGGCATTGTGAAATAGATGTACGAAACAACCGTAAACAGACTCCATTACTTTTAGCCATTAGTCTGTGCCATTGTTCATTGGTAGAACTTTTAGTGTCCTTAGGAGCTGATGTCAATGTAGAAGATGAAGATGGAGACACTGGATTACATCTTGCTGTCTCAAGGCAAAACAATAGAGAGGACGGCTATCTTGCTGATGCACCAACTATATCTAATGTAAGGTTTAAATTGATCTTTCATGTTACATGTTTTTTTCACATATTTAGGCTTTTGATTATTTAAAGCTTTCTTTGGTACTCTTCTGTTATTGGGACCAGATTCAGAAATGTATGTATATATGCATGTGTGTATGTAACACATCGTTCAGTATGTCCCAGGACTAACCGATAGATGGTGTAGTAATATTAACTTGACTTCGTTGTTAGAAAGAACTAACCTTCAAATTACACGTGTCTGATTTTCATGGCATTTGGACCGGAAATAGCAAAGCTACTGTGGTGAAAATGACACTACTTGTGCATCTGTGGACAAAATGGAGAAAAACGAATTTCAATTGTTGATGAAACATTGCTATTTAATGGGAAAAAATACCGTACAAGCTCAGCAATGGCTTGAAAAACGTTATCCATCGAAACTCCGTTGTAAACAACCATTTGCCGTTGGTATGCTGATTTCAAGCGTGGTCGCACGGATACAAATATTGCAGCACGCTCGGGTAGGCCAAATGAAGCAGTCACTCCGGAAAATGTGCAACAAGTGTTGAAAATAGTCATGAATGATCGCAAGGTGAAAGTTCGTGAGATTGCTAAGATGGTAAACATATCAACTGGAAGTGTTTGCAATGGAACAAAAGCAACAAGTCGACAATTCACAGAGCTGTTTGCCACTGTTTACTCACAATAAACAGGATTTCTTGCATCGGTATGTAACAGTTGACAAAAACGTGGATCCATTATTTCACTCCGGAGTAGCAGTCAGCCGTCCGAAGCATCCAAAAACGCAACAGTATGCTGGCAAAGTCATGGCATCAGTGTTTTGGGATGCGCAAGGTATAATTTACATCGACTTCCTTGAAAAGGGAAAATCTATCAATAACGCCTATTACAGTGAGTTATTGGTGCATCTGAAGGACGAAATCGTAAAAAAAAAAAAAAGAAAAAAAAAAAAAAAGACTGCACGTGTAGAAGAAAAAAATCATTTTCCATCAAGACAATGCCCCATGCCACAAGTCGATGCAAACACTGGTTACATTGAACAAGTTGGGCTTCACTCTGCTTTCCCACCCACTATACTCCCCAGATCTAGCCTCCAGCGACTACAGGCTGTTTGCTGATCTGAAAAAGATGCTGCAGGGAAAAAGATTTGGCTTGAATGAGGAAGTCATTGCTGCCACTGAAGCTTATTTTGTGGACAAGGACAAATCGTTTTACAAGCATGGTATCGAAAAGTTAGAAAAGCGTTGGGATGATTGCATTATTCTTGATGGTAATTATGTTGATGAGTAAACATGCATTTGTTGTTTTCTTATTTAGTCCCAAGACTTACTGGATGATGTGTTATGTATGTGTATATAAGTGCGTGTACACACATGCATGCATAACTCATTCATCCATACATACATACAGTTTCTGAATCCAGCTCCAATAACAAAATAATACCCTTTCTTTTTAACATTTTAAATTTTAATATCATATAAATATAAGGAACCAATTTCAGTTTATTTATGAGCATATGAGAATAATTAATTTAGTCTTATTAAGTGACATCAATTTATGCAAAATTTGATTTTAGAAGAGTAAATAAACAAAAATATAAATAGAACACTTTTTGTAGCCACAGATCAATTATTCAAATGCATTGTGCATTTGAGAAAAGCTAAATATGCATTTATTGATTAGAAATTAATTTATAGCAAAATACTCTTCTCTATATTAACTTACATTCTATATTACTGAAAAGGAAGATGAAACTAAACCCAATTTCAAAACATATATGATTTAAATGTGCTCTTGATTCTCTTTAGAAGCTCTTTTCTACATTTAATTTTCAGAAGCAGTTCTGAACACTCTTTGCTGTTCAACATGAATGTTCTTCAGAGAATCAAAGCAATGATTCTTCAATTTGAATTTCAACCTAGAAAATAAATAAATAAATAAAAATAACTGTGTGCTACACTTGACAATTTAGAAGAAAGCTCCTGCTAAGAATTATGCTTCCACTGAAAGCTAATGCATTTTCAGGGCATTGGATTTGTGAGTTACTGTAGGGAAAGAAGTTCTCATTTCTAACTGTCAAGATCTTCAGCAATGAATGCCCTTACTCAGCCACATCAGAACATGACACTGGTACCCCATTGGTTTCTTGATATACTATCTTATTCCTGGAAAAATTACCAGTATTAGATTTGTTGCATTCCTAGCTTTTCATTTGGATTTTCAAAATTTTTAGCCCTTAACTCTAAATCTTGTTGCTGAAATTTCAGGGTGTTAGTTGTAAATCAAAAGCTTGTTCTCTGCTGTTACTAGAGATGATACCCGAGGCCAAAGTTTGGAGGATTCTAGATAAATTTTAATTAAAAGATTGGATGGAACATTCAAATCATGGTGCATAGAAAGATGGGTTTATGGGGTTGCACTGGTAGCAATTGCAAGGAGCCCATGTTTCAGGATGCCCCGAAACATTAAATAGTTTTTAGAAATCTTCATGGTTATCTTTGGAACCTCATGTTACAATGCCAATAAACATACCTTGTATTTTCAGATGAAAGGCTTCCAAAAGTTCAAGTGAGATAGATCCTTCATTTCTTAAATCCTGCCACTAGGTTCATAAAAGCAGCAGGTTGCTGGTTTGAATGGGGTACCAGCCCAGTTCATTTATTTCTGCAAAATTTCATAATAAATAATGTAAATTATGTATTGTCATTGCAATAAGCATTATTAGTACACTTCGTAAGTAATGAAGAGAAAATCCAGGTCTCGTTAAAAAATAATATGACTGTACCCCCATATCTGCAGTTTTAGTTATCTGTGGCTCACAATAGAGGAAAAAAAGGCCTTTAAAATTTCAAAATTTATACTAAAGGATAAACAGCTCATTGACAAATGTGAAACAGAGCCACAGAAATGAACTAAGCATGATATTCCTCAGTAATCATGACTATATGTGCATGCATGTACTTTCCTGTAACTAAATGGGAGGAAGAATGAAAATGGTCATCTTCGGAACTTCACATACATTCTCAGGTTAGGGTTGCTTCTCAGAGCTATGCTTTTTTTCTTAATCGTCATTCCCTTATATCAGTAGGGTACCACTGCTATTAAGGGTGAAAACATGTGACCTCCTTCATATACACAGATTTTTCCATTAAATTTCTCTGGGTTTTGTCTTTATTAATAGTCTCCCTACTTTCATCAGTGACTTTCTATCACAACTCTCATACTCAGATAAGAGAAATGCCACCCGTGCTTCGAAACTTATGATGTGATATCTTATCCTTAATAAAGAAAGAAAAAAATTTGGATAGTAATTTTGCATTATTGTTTTAATAGTACAGTATATGAAGTTATATATTGAACAGTTTATTTTGTTATTATTTATTAATACAGTTAATGTCCTACTGTACATGGATTATATTTATTAATACAGGTAATGCACTTACTGTACATGGATATCCTGTTCTGCATACCATTCATTGTTTTCTGTGGTATGTTCTGAAATGAATTACTTGCAGATACCAGGGTACTTCTGTATCTGATATGTGATTTTTAAAGCTTAAGAACAATTCAAATGTTCAAAACAGTTTTTAAAACAGGTGTTCACAAGTAAAAAAAAATTTTTTTATTGCAGATTTTGGCTCATATTAGTGGTTTAAATATGGACAAAAATTATGGACTTGCAATGGCTTGTTACTTAGCCCAAGAGGGTGCAGATTTGCATCATAAAAACCGTAAAGGTAAAACACCATCTGAGCTTGTACATAGTTCAACTGCTCTAGATCTATTACAACATTATGCAGCATTAAAAATGATTAAGTAAGTATTTTGTATCCTTCCATATTCTGTTGTACATATATATATTCCTGTTATGCTGATTTTGTAATCAATTTTAAGTTATGAACTCATTCATTAGGAAGAGAATCCGTCAACAAATGGTATGTTAGTCAGAATATTACTTCTTATATGCTTTAAAACAAGAGTGAAAGTTTGTGTGCATGTGTGTACATATGTGTATGTTTGTGTCAGCTAATGTTTTATCTTTAAGACAGTGAGGTAATTTTATGTAAAATTTAATTTCAGGCAGTAAGATAGTAAACCTCTTGCATCTCTAATTCCGGTTCCATCTTTTCCACATTTTTCAGATAGGATGAGTTTCAGAAAAAGGATTATACAACCTTCATTCATGAAGCATTTATAAAATTCATTGCAAATATGACTTTGAGCACATATGATAAATTCTTCACTTATGTGATTTTTTAAAATCATATAAGTGAACATACCCTATAATTAGAAAAACATAAAAGAAAATCTATTGTGGCATTATATTGTCAGGCTAAATTTATTCAGATGCTTCGGTTTTCAAAGGCTGATTATATGATTACTGATTATATTAATTCAACCTTTAATTTGGATTTCTTAGATTTCAGAATTTTCTTCCACAACAACTTAATTAATGATATAGTTTCTGATTTGTTCTTGTCAGAGACATGCAAAAAACTTTTCTTGTTTCCACTTCTTATTTTTATGACCAAGCACTTCAACTTCCATACACAGCACTCTAACTTTTACTGCAAATATGAAAAATGCCATCATTTGATCAAGGTTGAACTGAGTTCCAATGAAACTGCAGTCAGCAATAAATAATAGAATTATTTATGCTACTATTCACATTGAATTTGTTAATTTGTCTGTTCTTAAAACTGTGTTATTTAACACAGGGTTCGTAGCGGTCCTTACAGGTGCTTATAAATCCTTATATTTGAAAATAAAATATAAAGGCGCTTATAAGTGCTTACTTTTTATTTTTTTTTTTTACTTTATAAGCCCTTATTTTTTTTGTTTTTAGTGCTTTTTTTTAATGAACATGCATTTTCCCCCGCGTACCAAAGCCGAAACTAAATAAACAACTTTTCTTCCTTATGTGGAACGTCAGATGGGGAATCATACTCCTGGAAATAGCTTTTCCCCCTTTCTCTGCATTAACGTAACCTATGGTGCGCGCGAGAGTACAGACAGGTGCACGTCGTTCTGTTGGTCAAAGAATTGCGAAAACTGTAGAAAATTCCGGTACATTCGGTATTCCTTTCCTCCTACCCAAATACTACACACGTTTGAATTTCTATCAAGATTTTAATAATTTGCATTCTCGTTCCGCGTGGTCAGTTTATATTCGTGTTTATTATGATCATTATGCTTATATTATATGTATGAATATTTATAATAATATAGTTGTAGTAGCTGCTGAAGTGTAGATAAACTTCCAAAAATGGGTTTATTTTTACACAGATTAGCTTTCTAAGGAATAATATTCGGAATGGCTTAAATAAAAGGAAAGTAGTTGAATAGTCATAATAATTTTTTTTTTCTAATACATTATACAGTACGGAGGTTGGAAGGTTCTCCCCTTTCTCCGCAAAATCTCTAATTATTGAAGCAGCGGACTTTTTTTTTTTTTGTCACCGTCCAATCTGGATTGAATAGGACTAAAAGTTTTGCGGTCTACCCAACCGAAGCGAAGAATGATTCTATTCCGGAAATTTAACGCAGTCTGTTCAAAATTAGAATCAAAAACACCCCAGATTAGTAAGTCTGTCTCTTTCTTTTCCTTTATTTAGTTCTTTATTCTCCGAATACCGGCAGCTGTTGATTCCGATTGCGTAATCACGTATGGAAGAATTACGCCACACGTATTGCAATAAGTTTGCGGTATTTTGCAGAGATAATTAATTTTGATGTTCAGTCTGAGATTTATTTATGAACACTTAAAAGAGTTTTATTGTGCTTTCTAAGCAGAATATGGTACTTACGTATTATCGCAACCAGGTTGACGCTATTTGTAAGTTTGAGTAAAAAAGTATGAATAGAAAGAGCAAATGTACATTTATTAATTACAGATAATTTTTAATACAGTTTTTTATATTATTTTGTTTAAAATATAAAATAGCAATTAAACCCTTCCGGTTTCGAATTTGAATAAGTTGCAGAATTATTTTTTCGGCGGAAATCTTTTGGTATTGCTTTTAGCACTGATTGAAAACCGTATTTGCCATAACCATGTACACGTCGACTTATCTTTACTTAAAAAAAATCTCAGAATTGCACAAAAATGGCATTGCGCACACTCTTGACTTTATCCATGTACACTCTATTTTCTCATAAATTACAGAAATTTGCACGAAAATGCAGGAAAATTTTGTGAATCTTCACATGCTCTTTTTACAAAACTACGTATAACACGTAGGGTTGTCGTAAGTAGGGTCACCAAATTTGGCAATTTATGCGAATTTTGGCCTGGTTGCGTTAATACGTAAGTACCCAGAATATTTCTCAGTTCCGTTGGTCTATTTTTATATGATGCACATATTGAAATGTCAAAATCATTTATTTAGCCGAGAAATCTAAAGAACGGCTACAATCTCCCCCCTCCTCTTTTTTCAGTTATGCTCGACTATACAGGATATTCGGCAATTTCCGAGTATGCGGGTTAGTTAAGCTTGTACTGTTAAAGGATGACTGCATGAAGCAATTTCCCGTCTCCTGATTTCAGAAATGTTCCTCTTTTTTACTTAAATTACTTTGCTTGGAATATATGTTAAGGGAAAACTGTTATGCAATGAAAATTTATAAAATGTTCAGAATTTTGATTTTGAATTATTTAAATGTTAATATAAGTGGGAAAATAAATTGTATTTATTATTAGGTGCCAAGCAAATACAATTAATATGGCTTATTATTTATTTATTTTCTATATTTTGAACTGAAATTTCATCATTAAATCTTGTAATATAGTTTAGTTCTGCATAGTTTTTTCCCTCTCATTGTAAACTAATTCTGTGAATTGAACTGTCATTTAAAATTTAAAAAAAAAAGTTAATTGTTTTCCATGGTCGAGGTAATGCTCATTTTCTTAATAAATATTGCATTGCTCATATTTTAAATTCAAGTCTAATTTTTCTTTTAAGGTTATGCAGTTGTGTATAATGTAATTAGACAGGTGCTTATTTTTTTTCCTAAAGTGTGCTTGAAAAGTGCTTATAGGTGCTTATATTTTAACTAAAATGTGGCTATGAACCTTGTAACAGTATAAATTTTATTTTTATTAAACTACTAGAAGTGTCAAAAGTATGGGGCAAAATGCCTGGAACCTTTGAACCATTAATCCATATATGCATGTGTAAGGATTGATCAAAATGTTCGTAAAATTTGATGGAATTTTTATACAATATTATATAATTTTGCAAGATTTAATAGAAAATTTGGTATTTGCCCTTTTTTTAATAAAGTAGCCAAATATGAATCATATTCCAAATACAAGTACGAGAAAAAAATTTCAAATATAAGTGGGAGCTATGATAAAGCATTTATGTTTGAAGCACAAGTTAATGTACATCATTTGTTAGGATTTATGTGAGGCATTTGCATTTTATTCTGCAAATAGGGAATTTCAAATTCATTTTTACTATATTTCAGTAAAATCCACAAGACTTTATATAGGTATACAACCATGGTATACAACCATGGATAAAATATAGGTATACAACCATGGATATAGGTATACAACCATGGATGAAAAATATCTGCACCACTTTGATCGTAAGAGTGACAGAGATGCCATGGAAACATATCTATTTTGATAGGAGCAAGGAGTTTATGTCAGCTTAAGATGTAGCCAATGTTTTCTGGGATGTTAAAAGATGTTGGTGATTGTTTAGCTTCACTTGAGGAAAACAGTCGTAGGTGAGTACTATGCATAACTAAAAGCAAAGCTGTTAGAAGAAATTAAAGGTAAACAGAGAGGAAAGCTAACAAAGGGAATTATTTGCCTTCATGACAATATGTTGTCACACACTTCTGCTGAGCTGACAACTGCTGTAACCTGAACAGGATTCCAGATGTTACCTGAATTTTATCTTCACCAAAGCTTGCTCCAAATAATTTTTTTCTTTCTAAAAATCTGAAGGAAGACTTTTCCTGAATGCATTTTACTTAAGATAGTAATGTTATAAATGCTTCTGGTTTTTAGAGAGATATAAAAACAATTTTCTTCCAATAATTGATGCAGGAGGAAATATTTGCCCATAAGAGGGGTTATATTGAACAGTAAATAATATTTGGCTTACTTAACATTGTTTATAATACTCTGCTATATGAATTTTTTATCACCTTTTGTGTGATGATTTGAAGAATGTCATGCATGTGCACTTTAGCTGAACGGCATGTGTTTTTCACCTCTTTCTCACATGACACTGAGTCGAGATTATAGAATGTAGAGGAGTATGTCATGATAATGGATGTTGTACACTGTATGCCAGTGAAATATTATGATACTAACAATATGTAAACTATATTTGTTTTGTTCGTTTTATAATAAAAGATTCAACCTAGTAATACATATGCTGTATGAAAATGCCTACACAAAGTTCACCTTACATTCATGTTAAATATATCTAGAATCCACTTCACAATGGATACACAACATTTCATAATACATATATATTGTTACAAATTTTGTATGTATATAAATAATTTTAGTCAAATTATATGTAAAATTGTAGTATCTTTTGTATAATGTGAATATGCCAGAAATATAAGATTACAGGGGCAAGTATATTTAAAACATTTAGGTAAATGGCTATTTCTTTAACAAATTTGGTGACATTTAACCTGATACCTGTGCAACTAACTAAAATTGCTCTCTAATTGTAACCATATCCAGTCCTTATGTGTAACTTTAATACTTTCCAGTAATTTTGAGAAATGGAAAGTACTAGAGATTTCTTGGCAGCTGGGGGAAAACCATATAAGCCTGGAGAGAGCATCAGTTCTGAGTTAGATCGAGCTTCGCTGGAACTGTAAAGTGTTTATTTTGTAAAAATAAATTTTATTAAGCTATCTTCGGTTCTGTGTGCATTCAGTCCATCATGAACCTAATGCAACAGTATGCTTGAAAGTGTTTGTTCCAATAGCGTGTATTCCCATGTGTGTTGAAATAAGGCTTTATTTTGTGAGGAATAGCCTCCGAGTGCAAGGTGGCTGATGAAATTAAAATTGAGAAAATATTTCTTTTTTATGGGTATTCTGTAAACTACTATGTTTCAGAGAGCAGTTCTCAAACATTAGGAGAATTAATTTTAGTGGACCTGTAGACTGAAAAAGCAAGAGCAGGAAACAATATTTTAAATGCGAGCAAGCCTAAATTTTGAAATATATCGTATATTTTGATGTGTTGTAGTTATGGTATTTGGGAATTTGAATTTAGCATTAGTGAAATAATTTTCTGTATTTTATTATTTAATTTAAAATTGTCAAATTACCCCCCCCCCCCCCCGGGTTTGATTTCTGGGTTGAGCAAAGTTGTCTCAGCCTTTCATTCCATGAGTGGGTTGATAAAAGGAGTACCAAGTTTGCTTGGGAACTAAATATCAGTGGTCCCGCAACAAGCTGACCACTTGCCCAGGCAAGATGCACAAGCACCCCGGAGCTCACAGTCTAGAAAGCAGATATCGGGGCACTGCCAGCCATGGCTCTGTAAGGCCTGTTTGTACTGCCGAGTTCGTCTTTTTCCATATATATTTATTTAAATATTCGTGAGATGTTGAGAGTGCCTGCAGTGTTTGTATTTTATTTCATGTATAGTATAGGATCTACCACATGAACTTATTCTATTTTAATATTACTGTTATATTATAATTTTCAGGTCAAAAGCACAGTGTTTGCCAGTATCAGGAGAAAGCAGCGAAACACCCCAATCTGAATCCAAGACCCCAGAATTAGAATGTGTGATATGTTCTGAGGCACCTGGTGTTGTGACATTTGACCCTTGTGGACATAAAGTTACATGTGAAGAATGTTGTCTTCGAATGAAGAAATGTATAATATGCCAAGAAATAATTTTGAAGAAAACTGCTTCTGGTCTGTTGACTTTTATTATTTTTTAAAAATTTTGAATGAGATTTATTTTGCATCGTGTTAAACATAAAGAAAAATATTTTTTTGCCCTAACCTTTGGGTAAACAAATCATGATATTTTAGATGGTTGAAATTCAACAATTAACACTTTAAATACTATGTAATAGAAACATGATTAATACATTATACAAGTTCTCAAATCAGATGGGGGAAATAAGTATGATGCAGTGATAACCATATGCATTACAATCACAAATGGGGAGGTTATGCAGTGGCATTGAAATGACTTTAAAGAAATGGATTATTCACAGAAATTTTGGTGCGTCTGAACTTTTTCATGGTGCCTTAAGTTAGAGCATACCCTACCCAACAGTTACAGCAACAGTTGATGCAGTTAGGCTGGTAAATTAAAAATTGAATGAAATATGTGCTTCCGATTCAGAAACAGTATATATAAAACATGCCAGGATATAATCAAGTGAACCAGCAACAAATGATACCTCAAAATGCAGTGGGAAAAAATTTTCTTCAGAAGACAAAAAGGAGGATGTTTCTAGTTATTTGCGAAATTTGTGTAAAATGGGGTAAAGTGTAAAGGTACATAGAACATTATCACTCTGATAAAGCAGTACTAAGCAGTACCATGATACTAAGCAGTAAGATAAAGCAGTACTGATAAGCAATACCACAACAAAAAGACAATATGTTGTCTTGCTTTAAGAATGTTTTAAAAACAAACAAATCTCATTGAACAACTTTTTAATGGGAATAAAGCGAAACGATTCTGAAGTAGAGGACATCAGTGTTAAGAGAAGATGGGGATCTAGAAAGAAAAAGAAAAAAGCTATGTGATGTTTTTACAGAATAGGATTTTCCTTTCGAATAACATTTCACCTTTGGCTTCTTCACTGTTTTTCAACTGCATTGTTAACTTTCCTGTGTAGCAGCATGTTAAAATTAATTCTAGTTTTCCTATTTATATATGTTTAGTGTAGTTTTAAGTATTGTGTGTGTGTTAGATTTAATAGGTTTTTATCAGTTTTGCTTTATGGACTTACATTTAAAGTATTTTTTCTAAGCAAAAATTTTGGATCTGGTAATGGATTAATTCATTTTGCATGAATTACTATGGGGAAAATTGTTTCGTTTATGAATATTGTTGCAGACTGTCTAATAATAATAATGTCATTTTATTATTTGTTACTTTTTAAGTAAAATTTTATGAATTTTTTTTATACATATATTTTCAACAATAACTTATTTTTACACATTTGTGTTTAGGTGGACGTGTTTTGTCCTCTAAATGTCGCCAAGCAAGTGTTGAGAGGTTGCGCTATTTAGAAAGCAAAATTCAAGAAATTGAAGAAGCACACAGTTGTTCCATTTGCATGGAAAGAAGACGAAATGTTGCATTCATGTGTGGACATGGAGCATGTGTTACTTGTGCTCACACACTGAAAACATGCCACATGTGTCGTAAACCTATAACCAAAAAAATCAACCTGTATTAGTTTTTGCATCAATTTCTAATCAGACTTCTGGTTGTGTAAAATAAGAGAATAAGCTTCATTTTAGAGCTGAGCTGATAGAAAATTATTTACTACATTCTATGACAGAATACTTCATAAAAACTGAATGATGTGGACTAAATGATAATGGAGTTATATCCTAATGTTCTGAAATTACCTCATCTTCTAAGTTATGTTAGTATTATGAACTTGCTTACAAAAAATTTACAGTTGGTTTCAATCTAATTCAACAAAGTTACATTTTAAGTATTTAAATTTTACTATATGAAATTTTATCTTAGGACAAATTTCTTAGAAATAATGTTTTATGTATTTAACAAAGTTCATATGTAAAAGTATGTGTAACAAAGACTTATATTCCATTGCCTCTGGCAGACACCAAAATTTTTCATATCATTGATTCAGCTAATGTAAACTTCATATCTATCTTGAGCTTGCCTAATGAGTCTTCAATTCTGTCTTTGAGTAAGATTATGTAAAGTAACACATATTAAATGTTTTTCAGCCAATTTCCATGTATATGTACATGCTGTTTCAGATAGTGAAAGTTTCATCTTCTTTCCTTCTGTAATATGAAAATAATGAATTTAACAATTAGTGCATTTTTCATGGTTCATACACTTTGAAAAATAGAACATAATTTTTAAGATCTTAAAAAGTATTTGAAATCCCATTATTTTCTTATCTTTTTTAACTTTTTAGTTTTATATTTGTTTAAAATTCAGTTTTTATTAAAGTTATTAAAAATATTATTTAATATTATTCCATTAAATTTTTATTGATAGTTTAAGCCTTAACTCAAAAATGGATTTATGGGATTTTGCTGATTGCAGATGCAAGAAGTTACGTGTTCCAAGGAGCTCCCATATCATGCTCTGGATTCAGAGGAAAACACTGCAAAAATTTGAAACCTTTATACATTGTATCTTAAGCTGAGGGGCCCCCAACTATCAAGCCCAGCATCTAAACATATTAAAAAACATCAACTTAAAATAAAAATATTCTGACCTTGAGGAAGAGAGACCCATGGCTAAGTTCCTCAAAATCTCTCCAAACTAAGGTTGCTTTTTTGTGTAATAAGAACTTCGTAACTGTTTTGCTGGAAAGATTAAAAGTAGATCAGTTATATATATAAAAAAAAAGATTAAATGCATACAACTGCAGATATATTGTTATAAAAGTTTTAAAATGCTTTGAAAGGTAACAATTAAAAAAATAGCGAGAATTATATGTATAAAATTCTGTTTTCAGATTATTCCACAATTTGTTTTTTGCAGATTGTTTGAGTTTATTCTTGCATTAAGTGTATGAACCACGATTCTACAATTTTAGATCCACTTTCATTTATTATAAAATATTGAAGATGGGTACAACATTCTGAAATTTAAATATTTAGATTTTTTTAAAAATCTCTTTTGCAAATTGCTTGTAAATGCCATTTTATTCTTTCTACATATGTTCTCAGGTCTTGTATGATTTTGCTCCACATATTAATATTTTTGTAAAACTACATATTGTTAAGATTTTGTGATATGCTGTTGCTAATTTATCATCTTTATTTTTATATATTTAATATAATTTTGTAATTGGAATTATGCTTATCTTTTTTTTTTTTTAATATTCACATTCTGAGTATGTGATTTGCTAACATTTATTTATTGCTTTTATTTTGTTATTTTCATGGTATTTTTGCTATTTTCATAATTAATAATACAACTCCATTAAAATTTGAAACTGATCATTAAATCTCTAGCACTATGAAGAAACTATGGTTGTTCATCCTGCATAGCCCCTTTTTTTTTAAACCGTTTGAGAGACCGAAATTTTTAAATTCAGATTCATATGATATATAGAGGAATACAGAGGGAAAATATTTTCACAGAATGAAAGAGTAACTTAGTACATCAATTAATTGATAGATAATATTTCTCATATTTCTTGTCTTCTGTGAAACAATTCATGATGTAATATAGCTGTGAATATTTGTATAGTTTCTCCCTTTTATATGTCAGAAATTCAGTATTTTGCAGTCGTGTAAAAGTGCATGATTTGAGTTATTTTATTTTTATAGATTTATGAAGTTTTATTGAATGTAATTTTTTAAGCCATTCATTGTGCTACATCTAGCTGTATTATTTTAAGCATCTTTAATTTTTTGTCGTATCCTTTGAAATTAGTTAAATTTACATATTTCAATCATGTTTTATGTTGAAGATTTTCAAAACCAGGTAATCTTATGAAAAAAACTGGGTGAATTATTAATCCTTTATCATAATGAGATTTTATTGTTCTAAACAAAAAAGTGAATTTCATGTTATTAAAATTTTATGAATTTTTTATTTTTCATAACTATAAAAAGTCTTTTATGTAATTGTGTTTTATATAAGCTATTTTATTTGAAACATTAAAGAAATGCTATTAATTTTCAAAAATATTTGAACTTTATTTTAAAGTTTAATGCATGATAATTTGAAAATATCTTTAGATATCAAATTTTTGAGTTTACAGAATGAGAGATAAAATTTTCTCTGCCATAAAATGAAAGACTTTTATATTTAATCAGCTCTTCAGGCATTTTTGTAACGTGCCAATATGTTACTTCTTTTACAAAATGAAATTGTGAAACAGAACTACGCTGTCTTTTATTTCTAGATGCATGTTTGTGATGTATGTATCTTCTTTTATGTTTGTAACTGAAGATTTGAATGTTTTACCTCCATGTCAATATAAATGTATTTATTTAGTGTGCATTTCATCCTATCTTAATTTAAGTACTTCCTTGAATCTTTATGGCACTGTTTTCATAAGTTAAATTGTGTTAAAACAATACTTACTTTATTTATATAGATAATGTCCTGAGTAACACATCTTGTATGTTTCCAGTCTGAATGAGACTAATATCAATTGAATGGTGCTATTTATTCTCTTTTCTATTATTTGTTATATAAGCTTGTAAAATATTTTCATTTTTCATAAATGTATGAATGTGATGAACAAATTTATCTTGTAAAGAATTTGCTTAGATGAGGAAATCTGCACTAAGGAGGCAAAAATATGTATTATTCCTTAGCTTAAGCACTTTTTTCTCTAGCCATGAAAAGTGACTGTCTGTCTGCATCTTGATTATACATTCATTAAACCAATTATTCTTCCATACAAAATAATTGTAGCCTTTAATAGTCTTGTTTCTTTTGACTAGTTTATGATTTATGAAAATGGATTTCAGTATTTTTATATTTTATAAACTTATATTATTTTTAAATCAGAGACCATGCATTTTTAGTGACATTAATATATGCTTTCATAAAAAATGGGAAGGTCAAAGTTTCAGAGTGAATATTTGAAATAGTATTATTCCATGTTTTTGTTCGCCACCATCATATGATGTATTGAAAATGTCTGTTAATTTTAAACAAATGACACTTTTTTCAGTTAGAATTAATATAAGTTTTTCAGTTGTTACTTTTTAAGCAATTTCACTGTTTAAAGAACAATAAAATGCATGCTTTTTATACAATTTCTTCTTTTCTTATGACTTTGAGATTATAGGCAGTATTTGAAATATGTCTAAATTTCGAAATTAAGCTTTCAAAATTTAGACATATTCCAAATACAGTCATTAGAAGATAACATTTAATTTTAAAACTTTAAGTGTTATCTTCTAATGAACTGTTTGTCAATATTTATATATTTTATGGCTTCACCAATTAGGTTCGGTAATGGTATAAGGCAAAAGCATAATAATGAAATTATGTGTAACATATAAAATTGTTTCTAAAATAATTATTTGTGAAATTTAATGTTATGTTATTTTATTAATAAAAGATTGAAGGATGTCTTGCTAATCATAATTTGTTACTATTTCAGTTTTTTAATTATGTGAATGTATTTGTGTGGAAGATGCTTTTCTATTTTAGAATTATGTTAATTTTACAAACCATTTTATCATTTCTGTTTCTTTTCTTGAAATGTAGTCCGTTTTAATTTTTTTTTTCAAATTATCATTAAATGTTTTAATCTTCTGTACATTTAAAAGAAACAAATTGAAGACATATTAATGTTGATGAAATGGTTGCATAATAAAATATTTCATATGTTAAAGTATTAGATAATCTGTAGTTCCTCCTCAAGAAGGATATTTTAAACACATCAGAGTTATCTTATAATATTTTTTTCAATTATTATTTAAATTGAAGGTTTATAGGTGATGTATGTTTGTGCAAAAGATGGAGCATTACAATGTCCCTAAACATTGAAGGAAGACATTTTTGTTACAAAAGATAATTTGTCATCAGTATTAATTTTTAAAAAATTTTCTACAATCATGTATATTAAAAATATTGTGAAATGGATTTATGTAAACATAATTATTTTGATGCTTGCATATTCAATAATAGAATCGTGAAAAGTAAAAACAAATCGTAATTATTGTTATGAACAGCTGTGCTCATAAAATGTACAGTTTCCATGATCTTTTTCTGTAATAATATGGTAAATGTTATGATTTTAAAAAAAAAATTACATGGATTTCAAAATTTTATTTATTTTGAGTTTTCAGGAATATTTGAAAGAATGAAAACCTTATTTTCATTCTTTAAGATGTTATTGGGAATTTCATAGACATTATGAGCAACTGTATCCAGTTTTCATTTTACACATGGAAATTATTGCATTAATATTGCTATCCCTGGAATATCTCTTGCATTGTCAAAAAATTTAGTGTTCAACTTTATCTGAATCAAATGGAAAGAGGAAAGAAAATACAGACGGAAAAAGTTTTGTCATAGCTATTTATTTTTCAATGTTTTACTGTGTTTAACTACTTATAATTCTTAACTCTCCACTTACAAACTTGCACAGTTATTAAATTTGATGTAATGTAAATAAATTTTTAATCCTACTGTTCGTAAATTTTTCATAAAAAATGGAAAATTTGTTGCAAGCCAGTGAAAAGTTTGGTTGCTCGTATAAAGTAAATATATGATAAATTTTCATCCTTGTATTTAGTACATAGTGTGCTATAATTTTCAATAAATCATGTAGTATGAGTTGAAAATTCATTATTTGAGCATGTTTTAAAATAATTCTTTGGTTTAAGGTTTTTATGTGACTTATTTCTGCACAATCTTCTCCCTTTATTGCATTTTGACGTGGGTGCATATCAAGTAACAGATCTGCTGTTCTAAAGTATGATTTGTGGTCATCTGTGGCAATATTCGAGTGTCAAAGATGTGATCTTTTGTTTCATATTTTAAACCTATGGAACATAATATAACAGGTTTAAAGGTTTAAAATTCTAAACCAGTTTATTGAATCAAGATGGCCAAAAAGCAAAACATAGATATGTTATTTTTTTTAGCCTCTAGCTAAAGGGCGGCACATTTTGGGATCTTTAGTCAATTTATGTAGGTGTAATTAAAAAAAAAAAATAAATAAAAACTGTGCTATCACTTAATTATCTTGTTCAAAATAAAAGATGAGAAGTCAGCTTGCTGTCACTGAGGATATTCAGAATTTTGCACTTGCATATGCATGATTTTCTCTGTATTTTATGCTTTTATTATTTAGTGAACATAATCATTGTATAATAAATATGCTCATACAGAATTTGAGCATGAGGATTTAAAAATATAAATCTCTCCAATAAAATTAAGAATGGCCTTTACAGTTTTAGTTCTGATCAGAATAGGTAATGTTTTTCATTAAAATATTTTAGAATAGGCATTTTTTTTCATTAATATATTTAAATGTTGAATACATTTATTTTGTGTGTGTGTGTGGTATTAATTTTTGTTATATTTACTAACACTTGTGTAAGAACTTATAGAATGTAAAACATTTTAATTAGTATAGTATTTAAAATTGGAAAACATTTAGATTTGCTTATGTTTAAAAATCCGTGGAAACTGATTAATTCAAACGTAACAAAATTAAATGTTTTTCCTTATTTTAAAATAATTTGCGAATTAAATTTTTCATTGAAATTTTTTTTTTGTATTGAAAATTTTCTTTATTACTATAGAATTAATGACATAATTTTGATTTTTACTGGTAGGAGTTAAAAGAATTACTAATTTCATCAAGCTAATTTACCACTGGTATTAATTCTTTTGCTATAAGATAAAGCTGACTTATCATCATATTTTCTGATAAAGATAAATTTCCTTTTGTTTATATAAACTGTATTCCTTTATTTTAAAATGGTATAACTGATATATTTTTAATTGCAAGTGAATAAAAATACAGGAGAATTTCCAGAGTTAATAAAAGTTTTGGAGCTGAATTTTCTATTATGTTTAAATATGCTGAGATATATGATAATCAATTTAATACAATAAATAACTGTTGAAATTATAAAAAATGTAATTCCGTGAAATTAATCTGAATCATAATTTATATTTTGTATTTTATTGTAATTTTTAATGTTTTAAAATACTTTTTCTTACCTTCTTCTTTCATTATGTAAACATTGCTTCCTGTCAGGCTAGGAAGCTCTAGTCCGACAGGAATCAAAGTAACCCATATTTTGTAATGTTCCTATAACTAGTCTATAATACTACCATAATATTTGATTTCAATTTCTTTTTTAATTAATGTATCATATGTTTCTAATTAAGGGAAGGTTGTACTGCAAAGATCTAGGTTTATGTCACCTTTCAAATATTAAGTGGGAAGAATCTAAAAAATGCAATCTTAAAGTTGCCCGCCTCCTTATTCTGTTTTTTACTTCTGTTAGTATTATTAAAATTATTTTGAAAGTTTACTACAAAGAACATTACTGAAAAGCAAAATTCACAGATGTATCAATTTAACTTCAATCATCAATTGTTAATTACATGTGTACGTCTATCGCATACTCATTCTGCACTATTTTAAAAAAAAGTGCATAATCATCTGCATTATTCTTCATAAAATCTGTTTTCTTGTAATATACATTTTGAGATACTCTAATCATTTGCTTTATTTAAATCGGAAAACATTTTAATCACAGCAGGTCAGGTATCAAATAAATTTTTCAATTGTATGGAGATAAAAATAAATACAATCAAAATTGTCTTTCGAAATATCTTTTTGTATATTTTTATGTTAGGTTTATGTAAGTTTTATCATTTATCAAAATGACTCATTTCTTTTTTTTTTTTTTTTTTAATTTTAATAAACTGTATATTCACATTTTTTTCTTGAAAAAATTAATTTATTTGTATTAACTTTTCACCCATATTTGTATGTGCCAAACTAAAATAATGTTGGGAAATATGCAGAAGAAATTTTCTGCTTCTTTTTACAAAACTGTTTTTGTTGAATGAGTGTTCACCAAGAATAGAATAGTTCTTTGTGGAAATTTTTATTTGTTGAAACACGTATAGGTTTTCCATGGTGCACTTTATTTTGATCCTTTACAATTTAAATAACCCTGGTATATGAAAGATATCTATATGCTGTTTATACAGCCATTTCTTCCTAGTTGACGATGTAATACTGAATTCCCTGTTTGGAGAGATCTAAGGCTATTCTTTGTTGCAGTCAGTGCATCGTAGCATAAATATCTTGTTTATAAGCCAGAAATTTCTTTACTAACCAAAATAAAATTCATCAATAACAACAATTCTCTGCATTGCATTGGAGGGAGAAAAATGTAATAATGATTGTAGCTGTAGTGAAAATGGTTTTAGTCTACTCTCACCAGCTGCTTGAAAATTCAAGATTTTAAAGGAAATTTTGCAAATAGGGGTATCATAACTGCCAACTGTCCCAGTTACCAGGAGTCTCCCAGTTTTTCAACACATCTCTTGATCTTTGGCTAGATAACAAAATTTCCCAGTTAATTATTTTTTCAGTTCATTTTTTAATAAGCACTGCATTTTTCAATGAAAATATATACACATTTAAAAATTATACACAGTTAAAATTTAAAAGGATAAAATTTATTTCTGTCTGTGTGTGATTATGGCAAAGCCTCGAGGGCTATCTGCTTAAGGGGAGAGATGCCTTCGTTGAGATCTTCTAGGAAACGACCGTAACACATTAACATGGGGAAAACCAAAATCCCATGCAGCCACCCGTCCGCTGATTCGAAACTCGACCACTACCAGTGTTCGGCGACTTTACCGCTTGGCTGCTGGTGGGCGATAAAATTTATTTCAAAAATAAAATTTTAAAAAATTTAGTTGTAATTATTTTGTGTATTGACCATAATTTTTAACATGATGTTAACATTTGCAGTGCTTTGTATGATAGGTTTTGTATCAGTGCAAATGGAATAGCTTCTTTAGCTAATAATGATGCAGTTTTGTCCTGCATACAACAGCAAGAAATTATGTTATTTTAACAGATATTCCTGTCATTTTAGAACCCAGTCAATGACAGCCTTTAAAAGAAATAAGTACTTTCAATCAACTACATTTTCTCGTTTGTCTCTGTCCCTTTCTATGAACTTTGGCAGTTCAGTTACTTATAAACTTAACTTTGTAATATATGAAACTAAAAGTCAAATATGCTTAAGAATTTATGTCTTAAGCATATTTGATAAATGTCTTTGAGAAAAATCGGCAGGAAATCTGAATAGGGACACTATACCAGAATAATCCTTGGTGCTTATTATTCAGGATATCAAAAGAGCACAGCATACATGGAGAAAGATTAGGAACTTTTGTATGTTATTTGTTATAACGGAGCAGTCATTATAGCAAGCTATCAACCATAAAATTAAATTCTCTAGTTAATATTTTATACTCCATGCAGATGAGAACAAAACTATTATGTAAGTACTTTGATGTAATATTTTGAGTGGAATGTTTAAGGGAAATCTAGGTAAAGCATTCCTAATAAGTTCTATTATATTGATTTAAAGAGGAAAAAAAATGATTTTTTTGTGTGTTATTAGTTTAAAAATTACTGTTAATATTTTACTCATATATATTCAGCATATTGTATAATAAAAATCATTATATTTTGTATCAAGATTATTTCAAGATAACTTCTATTATGGAATTATTTGATAATTAATTGTCATTTATATTCAGTAAACAGGAGGCAAAATTTTATAAGTGAAGAATGTAATCGTGTATGATTCATGTAAATATATAGTCATAGAAAGATAATTTCTGTTTCACTGTATATATATTTATTGAACAAGAGCTTGGAGGAGGGAAAATGGTGATGCTGGACTAAGAACATCAAATACACAGCTGGAAATTCTCCCGTATCAAAAGAATTATTTTAACTATTCTGTATATTAAGGTTTACTGTATATTGTCTTTGAATCACTTCTATTCATAGCAGTTGTTTCCCATTTAGCGTTACATATATTGTATTAATTTTCATTTTTAGTTGTGGCTGTCTTCTGCAGAGAGCATGAGTATATTAATTTTTTCTAAGAATTGATTATTTCATATGCTGTATGTTAAATTAAAAAGTTATGTGTGTTTGATAAATGTGTATTAACAGTGCTCAAATGTGAAATGTACAGGAACATCATTTCATCATATAAATAAATATTTTATAACTCGATATTGTTATTATTTGTGAAACTGACTGGTTATTAATATCTACAACAGAAGGGAAAATGGATGAATTGATGTAAATAATATATGTGCCATACTTATGATCATTCTTTACAAACATTAATGTATGTATCCCCAAAATAGTTCCCCCCTTTTTTTGTGTGTGTGAGTGTTGGTGTTGCAGGTAATTTTAGTATTTTTAATGAACTCCAATCTTATTTACATTCTCAATTATTTGAACAAAAGCTGAATGTTATAAGTTAAGAGCAAAACAGTCATAAAGAGCTTAATGTTACAAAATATATATGAAATGTATAGTGGGTGATCGGTTAACGAACATAATCCGTTCCAAGATTCTGTTAGCTATCTGAATTGTTCGTTAACCGATCACCAATTTACCATATATGTTAATGCGAATTCGATTAATTTGTTCTGGAGATCCTAAAAGTTAAATTTTAAAAAAATGCCATGTACAAGTAATAATTTCTCAGTAAGTTTATTTATTACAAATATAATACATACATATAGTCTTACTTATTTAATGTCCTAATTTAAAG